AGCAGATACTACATCAGGCTCCAGCCTTGCAATAAACTAAGCTAAACACCAAATTTGATCTCTTTATTACGATAGAAATATTAAAGAATCCTACACTGGCAGTCGTGGGCTTTGGTTTTCTCCTGCCCTCCTGTACTAACAATAGCTGGCTGTGCTGCCCATTCCATCAAAAGGCTGCTGCATTTGCAGTCATAATAACGTGGTGGTGTGTGGGCATGCCACTGGGAATAGCTCCTCCAGGCTGAGCAGGAGCGATCTGGCTTCACTGATCTCAACCAATGAATCTAAACCAGGGACAGTGTGTCTGGCAAGCAAACATTTAGTAATGTTCACAGACATTGTTGATCCTCATGACTGCGGGTGGAGGGGCTGTTGCTGAGTAGAAGTCAGGGACAGTGGCAAAGATGCTTAGTCTGGTTCCTGTGACAAAGCTATCAGGTCTGAAACACCAATAGCACTGTGTTCAGAAGCGATGTTGTAGCCTTAGCAAGAGACTCCAGAAAGAGTAATTACAAGTATGAATAAGACTGTATTGTTCGGTGATTCTACCTCAAGTTTTCTCCTAGCCCAGGTAGAATTAATTCTCTGTTGGCAAAAGGAGTAGGTGCATTAGTTCACCCTGCTGGTGCCAAGGAGGTACCAGGTGCATACCACAGGATGGACATTCCCATCTCTGATTGGGCACTTCACACCTGATATTGATAATCTTCCAGGCCCTGCTTTCTCTACGAAGATCGCACTGTTGTTGCGGTTGTCTTTCCCTGTGGGTGCCATCTACATCAGTTTGTAGCCATTAGAGTTAGGGTCACAGATTTGTTGAGACGTTTTCATGTCTGATAGGTCTTTGAATAGCTTTCACTATGGTGCTGGCTACTTACAAGACTTGTCTTTGTCCGACTTTGGATGAGGCTGTTTATTTCTCTCATGGTTCTGCTACCTGTTGGTTCTCTAGTAAACCATGGCGGCTGTCTTCTAAACTGGACTGTGGTCCGGTCTCTTGTCTTCCTGTGGTGTCAGTTTTCTGCTTGTCTGCCTGACCTAAGCTTGTGTCAGGACCTGCACAGCATCCCATATCTCAGGCTTGGAAAAGGCTGATGGCGTGTTTTCTCTGAGACAGCTGGGCACTTACAGGATGAGTCCCACCCCTACACCAGGACATTTCTTTCACATCTCCTAGGCAGATGGAAAATGTAGAAATGAATAATTGATTAGATGAATGTAGCTGTTGGTCTTACACGAGTGGAACTTACATCTTGTTCAAAACCATGTTAATGTCACCCCTAGCTGAGGAGCTGTTGGCAGGTTCTGTGGCTGGGGGAGGGGTCGTTCTTCTTCAGTGGTGTAGCTACTGGTAAACTGCCCTGCTCCTAAGTAGCGCCACACCTGTCCTCATGCAAACAATCCTAATAAACTCAGGGGTTTATAAAAGAACAACAACAAAATAAACCACATTTAAATAGCAGAAGACTTCTGGGGGCACAGAAAGGGGTCTAGACAGTGTGGGTAGGGGGAGTAATGGAAGTCGAATATGATCAAAAACCTTATATGCATGCATATAGTTGTCAAAGTTTAAAACTGTGTTTTAAAATGTTAACGTTAATGAAAAGAAACTCAATGGTGAGGCAGGAGTTAAAACGTAGGAAGAAGAGAAATTGGACTGAGAAAGGAATAAGACACACTTTGACTTTAGTTTTTGGCTTAAGTACCTTTTCAGTGATCATTGTATTGACTGATGTTTAGATAATGGACTGCAGAAATAATGTTCACTTGCATATATTTTCATGTGATCTGTTTGCATTTATATTCATAATTAAGCTTATATTCAGCCTGCGGCTAGTGCGGGAGAGAAGAAACCAGAATGTGTTGTGAGATGGGGGACTATGCTCTGAGAAAGGGGGAAGCGGATAGTCTTTGGCTCTTGTTAGATAGAGCCATTGCCTTGAACAGCAGGTAGGAACCAGTGCCGGGACCCTCCCATTAATCTGGCTTCCTCAAGTGAGAGCAGTGTTGAGCTGCATTTGATGAGTAGTGGATTATGGGAGGCTCCATTGCAGTGGCTCCAGCTAAAGAGTTACAGCATTTCGTCTGTCTTGAATCAGCTGAATTTATCCCTCAGGATTGTCAGTCTGTGTACCCTAAGCATGCCGCTGTCGGGAATTGAAATCACTTATGTGCCTTGAAACGCTACACTAAAATGACTGTAAAATGTCATTTACCTCCTTGATTTGGTTTTAGGATGTAGTTCTTGCAAAAATTCCTTCTCTGAACCTTACAACTGAGTGAGTAGTTGCAAAGATAAAGCAAATAAACCAAAATTCACTTTTTGAGGGAGGCTAATTGTTGATCCCAGTGTCTTGTAATTTCATGCAATATTTTTGATGCATGTAATACTGGTATTTCTGAAAGACTGAATAAGAATACTAGAAACAAGGTTAAAAAGGTTATTGCAAGTTGACCTACAGGCTGAGGATGTTGCTCAGTCACAGAGCCCTTGCCCAGCCTTCCCTTGAGTCCAGTGTTCAATCCCTAGGCTCACAAAATAAATAATATATAAAGCGGAAACTCTGCCATTGTTGTAATCTCATGAAAGAATGATACCTGTAGGGACTGCCCACTGCATTTTTCATCACAATATAACTCTTAGCTTTTAATTAGAGTAGGTATAAATAAATAAATAATTATTCTTTGTCTTAGAAACGATGTAATTTGATAGCTCCATGGACATACTTTTAATGTTAGTCGAATCTTCTGTTTCCTATCTAATGGATGCTGTAAAGGCAAGAGCTTTATTTATAGGTTTAAGGGCATAAATCTAAATGTCTAAACTACATTGCATGTCATAAACCACTTTGGTTTTCCTTTTCCATTGACAAGTCTTTTCAGAAAAGATTGAGTTTTAGAAAACCACTGTTGTCCCTTGTATTGCTAAAACCAGGACTGCATCTAATGTGGACCTTCTGGAACACAGTGAGTAAGGAGGGACTAGACCTGGCTTAGTCAGCACCAGGTGTGCATTCAGAGGATGGTCCGTGTGGAATTCAGGTTGCTATGCAGAAAACTGTGGTGGTAAATTCACCATGAAGACAATAGGATTTCACCATTCATCTCAGACAGGAAAAGCTGCTTCTTAGTGTTATCCATGTGTTTCTCTAAGTGATGAAATCACATTACATATTTTGTAACATGGAGTATTTTTTTTCTTTTAGGTAATAAGGTTATTATTTTTAGTTCTAAACTTAAAAGTTAGTGACATTGTAGAAAACTGTAGAATGTATGTTCATAAATGTGTTTTCATAGATGACTGACAATGAATTAAGCCTTTTAGAAGTGTGTGTGTGTTCGCGTGCTTATGCCTGAGTGTGCGTGGATGCAGCTAGGAGGATGGCCTTGAATGTCTTTCCTCAATTGCTCTCTACCTTTATCTTCAGAGACAAGGCATCTTTTGAGACTAAGGCTGAAACTCACAGATTCAACTAGAGCGGCTGACCACTGTCCCTCAGTGATCCACCTATTCTCTCCTACACCAGCAGCGGGGTGACAGATGTGCTCTGCCACCAGCAGCTTATTACAGAGGTGGTGGGGATCCGAACTCAGGTCCTCCTGTTTGCAGAGCAAGCACTTTCCTAACCGAGTTTTCTCCCCAGCTTTATTTCCATGCCATTACAGCCAAATGGGCTCTGGAATCCTTTGAAGGCTACAGTAAGCACTTTGGAAGATAGGTAGAGTTGCTTCCTGTAGTGTCAGGGTCTGTCCCCAACCACTAGCTTCTTTCTATTTCTCTTCAGTAGTGTGGGCAGCTCTCAAGTAAGCAGTCCAAGGCAGAGAAACAAACCCCGCTGACCCTTCTAAAGCTGAGATGTAACCATCGCTGTAGCCTGCTAATGCAAATTTAGGCCTGCGAGGAAGTGCAATGTGTCCCTAAGGCTATTTTTAGAGATGAGCTATCATAACAATATACCTTGAAGTGTTTGTTTCATCAGAGACATGTTTCATGCTGGTTAATTTCAGTTTCGACTCCAGGGGTGGTCATTTATACTAACCAAGTGTCTGTGGGTGTGATGTAGTCATCCAGGTTATGCATTAGGGGTTGCTACCGTAAGCACCCAGCTGTCCAACTCTTGATCAGAACTAGTCTGAGCAGTTTGAATTCTGTTGGTGAGGCAGGGCTGTTAGGTCTTCAGAGAAAATGAGGCTTCCCTGGGCCAGAATGGTTCTGTCCACTCAGCTCATATCTCTAGGTGGGACTGGAGAGTCTCAAGCACTGAGGAAAAGGAAGTACCTCCCAGGCTGCTGGTTATCTCACCATAGAGGGAGCTCAGCCATTCAGACCTCCTTCTGGTTGCATCACTGAACTGACTGGTTTTCTGTGTCAGTTTGACACAAGCTAGAGCCGTCAGGGAGAAAGAGCATAGTAGGTTGAGGAAATGCCTCCAGGAGATCCAGCTGTGGGGCATTTTCTTAATTAGTGACCAATGGGGAGGGCCCAGGCCATTGTGAGTGGTTCTATTCCTGAGTTGCTGGTTTTGGGTTCTATAAGAAAGCAGGCTGAGCAAGCCAGGGGAAGCAAGCCCGTAAGCAAGCAGAACTCCGTAGCCTCTGTATCAGCTCCTGTCCCTGGGTTCCAGCCCTTTTTGAGCTCCTGTTCTGACTTCCTCCAATGATGGACTATGATCTGGAAGTGTAAACCAAATAAACTCTTTTGTCCCCAACTTGCTTTTTGGTCATGGTGCTTCATCGCAGCAATAGAGACCCTAACTAGGCAATCCCACACACTGAATGTTTGTAAAGTGTGAGCAGGAACTGTAGCGATTCCCAAATCTTGCTAACTGTGAACTTCATCTTCTTGTACCTCCTCTGTTATGTTCCTTAGCTAGCTGGAGCTAGAATTCTACTTTTTACCATGAGGTCCCCCTGAGACCAATACTCATTTTGAGGATACCTTATTGGCCAAGTACTCCACCATCCTATGGGCCCTGACTTTCATCAGACTTTTATTGCAGAGCGTGCCGATAGAAGCCTTCACCAGTTGAAATGTGCCCTGAGAGAGAGAGAAATGTGTGTGGAAGAAGAGGCACTGGATCCTCCCACCAGCATCAACGTAGAAAATGAGGACTCAGGGGTGGCCTGGTATGAACTGCAGCACAGCCATGCTGGTGAGTTGACTGTCAGCCTGGGCACCTGGGCATGAACGGCACACAGTAGATTGTCTCATCTTCACAGAGGTGACTCCGTTCAGTTGGCCACTCTACTGCTAAGTTTCTATTGCTGTGTAATGAAAAAGCTATGTAATTCCTGACTTAGAATTTTTCTTTTGACTTCCAAAATCCCATAGGCTTAAATTCCAAATCCTTAGGATGGAATAACAATATATTCCTAACTTACCAACACTCCCTAACCTACTGCTCCAGCCAGACCTTTTCATACTGCCGTTTTAGCCATCCTTTTCACAGGCCTCATCTGAACCATCTGTCTTCGAACGCAGCCATCTCTTAGCAACCTGACCCTGCATCCATGCCTTTATACCACAGTTCCTCATGACTGCAGCTTCTGACACCTTCCCACCCTGTCTCTAGCACTGAGGTCCTGTTGATTACCACTATTAGTGCCTACCCGAAAGCAAGCTCTTAGTGCTGTGTCCGTGTCCATAAAGCTTCGTGCATACTCTAGAGCTACATTCAGAGCGTATTTCTACAGGTGTGACTACTTTACTTATTAAATTATTACTTAACCTGGAAACAACCTAAGTGCCCTTTGACTGAAGAATGGATAAGGAGAATGCGACATTTACACAATGGAGTACTACACAGCAGAAAAAAATAATGCCATCTTGGATTTTGCAGGAAAATGGCTGGAGCTAGAAAACATTATTTTGAGCGAGGTAACCCAGATGTAGAAAGACAATTATCACATGTACTCACTCATACATGTTCTTTTTAACATAAAGCAAAGAAAAACAGCCCACAAATCACAATCCCAGAGAATTTAGACAACAATGAGGACACTAAGAGAGACATACATAGATCTACTCTACATGGGAAGTAGAAAAAGACAAGATCTCCTGAGTAAATTGGGAGCATGGGGACCTTTGGGGAGGGTTAAAGGGGAGGGGACAGGCAGGGAGGGGAGCAGAGAAAAATGTAGAGCTCAATAAAAATCATTAAAAAATTTAAAAAGTAGTTTTTAAATTTTCATTCTTTTCTTTGTATCCCCAGCCACTAACAAAAATCTTATTGCCTAATAGTAGTTTAAGCAATATTTGCTGGCTTGATGTTTGGTAATAAAATGTTAGTCTGCTTTCCATCACTATCACAACATCTTAGAGAAACAAACTTATAAAGAATATACTTTTTCTCTTTCTTTATGAGACAGGGTGTCACTGTGATCCTTAGATGGCCAGGAGCTCTCTGTGTAGACCAAGTGGGCTTGAACCTGTGGTCACCCCAAGCCTGCGTCTCCCAAGTGACAATATCACAGGAGTCTGCCAACTTACCTTAGTGGGTTTGTTTTGGCTCATTATTACATGTGTTAGCCCATTATTGATTGGCCTTGCTTCTTTGGGAATATAACAGGGAAATTCCTCCAGGCAGGCACATAGTGCTAGATAAAATACTCACCTAATGCCAGGAAGGGGAAAAGAGAAGGAAGAGGTGGAACCCACCTTCCCCAGTAACTTAAAGACTTCCCACATTTAATAATTTGATTTAATGACCAAATCCCCACCTCTTCACTAGGTCCTACGTCTTCTATCCTTTATTTCCCATTAATGTTAAGTGAAGGGCATTTTCTTTGGGGCACGACCTTTGGGGGACATTTAGAACCTTAACTATGCATAACCCATGGATCTCTAGCAAGGTCAATAAATTCATTGCTTTTGCTCTGTAGTCAATCAGCTCAAAGCTTTGTTGCGCCAACAAGCAAGTAAGGACAATGAGATGTCTCCACCACGAAGACGAAAGATGTCCCCTTCGGTAAGTGTCAGGTCATCCTTCGGTGCCTGACAAAAGCATGGGTTTTCTAGCTTTGCTTTATTTTCCTTGTCAGTTTGAGCAAAAGAAATTCCTTCGTCTCTAAACATTTGAACTGAGGAAATCTTGGTATTTCTAGTTTATTTTATAGATTCAAAAGTGGCAAGAGAACAGTTTGAGAAATGTATTTTGCAACTCTTAACGAATATATAAAAATGACAATCAATGCAAAGGCATAATGTTTATTAATATGTTTTAGAAGTTCATGTCTACATTTAATCATTTGTAGATTATTAATTGTAATGTTAGACCCCCTCCTTTTAATACTGTTTTATTTAGTGTTATAATTAGTGAGAAATTATGCAGTAATTCTTTGAATTTATATAACTTTGAAGAGTTTGTCATAGTTTGGATAAACTTAAAGAAAAATACCAGATATATTTCCCATCCCAACAATGCCTTAGTTTTACTCTCAGGAGACCCAATATGCTTCTAGCATGCCATACTGGTGATGAGAGTATATGTCATGGTACAGAGAGAGGCATGGTACATCTAATTAGCATGCCTTAGTTAGTACATAGAAATACACAGTGAAGCTTACCAGTCTTTTACGTATGCTCCTGTGACTGGACCTGTGCATTTGTAAAGCAATAGTAAAGAAATTCTCCTGGTGCAGCCCTTCCTCCCCACCCTGATTTTGTAAGCTCCAGAATGCTAGTGCTCAGCTTTGCCTTCAAAGCTACTAATGGACCTGAATGTGCCGCAGCCCTAGCAACTTCCTCTAATTGACTTGAGAACTCCTTTCACCTCGTGCTTTTAAGAGCATTCCAGAAACCAAAGGCCGGCAGTAGTAAATGCTTATTAAAATTATAATCAGTAGCTATAAATATTGAGTATGTGAATGAAATGTGTTTCTGTAAAGTAAGAGGTGAGCATAAGACTATGTGTTGGGAAGAATGCAGGGCTCCTGCGAGGATGCTGCTGTGACACTTTTTCTGGAGCCAGGGCAAGCCTCATCTTTCTAGAGTGCAGCCTGCAGGCTTTACGTTCCGTTGTCACACAGGCTGGATCGTAGGTGGTCACTGCTGCTGCTGCTGTTAATATTTATGTTTTCCTTCATGGGTTTCTAAAGAGTGTTAAATAAATATAATATACCATCTTCCTTTATGATTTCGAGAATTCCAGGACATAGACACAGTGTCCTTTTAGCAAGTCTGTGACATACACTGTGTGGACCTACAGCCTAGATTATGATTTGGCCTAGTTCAGAGTTCATTGTTTTAGACCCAGTCCTATTCTTGGGAAAGAAAACACTGCAGTCAGGAATAATGCTTTAAAAGCATTCAAATTAATTAATTAAAATTAAAGTCATCAAAAATCAACTGGGTGAGAAACAGAAAGGTTCTCTTTGCAGGGCTTCCTGTCAGGTGGCCTGCCGACTCATTTCCCTTTTCCTTCTTTCTTCTTCCTTAAAAAACCAACACCAGCAGAAAGAACTTTCTGAAATGTTTTCTGGGCTCCTTAGGGCAGCTTGTGTGTCTCCTTTATGGCTTAGCCTTAGAGGATCTGTGCCCAGAAATGTACAGGTTTAAGTTGCTGCTAGACTAGGATCTCTCTCTCTCTCTCTCTCTCTCTCTCTCTCTCTCTCTCTCTCTCTCTCTCTCTCTCACACACACACACACACACACACACACACACACAGAGCACACAGCACATGCCTAAAAAGTCCACTCAACAACAACAGCAAAATAAAACCCCAAACTCCAGCTCTCTTCAATGTGCCCCTGTGAAGTAGGCTTTTGCTTCACTGGCGTGTACTTGACTCCCAAGTCCCTGTTGGAGAGCAGATGTGCAGTTTCAGGTGGCTCCCTTCTTCAGGCAGGGTCTTGAAAAGAACTGTCCCTTATGTCTCAGCAGGCTGTCACATTGTTAGGTAGCTAAGCAGGTAGCCATTCCAAGCAAGTTATCGTACCCGGCTGTGAAAAAGAAACTCCATGTGTCATGTGCTTTTAATAACTGTTCACTTTCTATCTTTCAAAAATAATATTGCTATTCTTATACTTGTGGAGTTTATAGACTAAAGACATAAATACTCTGTATACTCTGTGATCTAGTCTTTGCTCATGTCGCCCCAGCACTAAATTACATACAGAGAGGATAACCAGATAACTCTTTGCTAAATGTGGAGCTGCTTAATTTGTCCTTTCTCCCTTAGCGGCCATCGGAATGTGAGGACAGTAGCATGCCTTCTCTGCACAACCTCGTTCCTATCATTAACGACCAGTCTCAGTACATCCACCATTTAGAAGCAGAAGTTAAGTTCTGCAAGGTAGGTTGCTCATTAGGACTTCATGTCAATTATACCTTATACTGAAGTTTGCTATTCTTGGTTTTCGTGTTTACTTCCGTCTATGGAAAATGACTATTCTTACGTGGTATTCTCATTATGCTGTTTCTGGTTGTTTAAAGTCCTTGGTATCTCTTTGGCGAATGCTGAACGTGTTATACTAAGTAATAGTAACTAAATTGAGTAACTAAATTAGTTATTTTCAGCTTCTGGCAGAGAGTTCTATAGGAAGAGGAAACCCTGATAAGAAATTACCTCCATCAGATTGACTTATGAGTGTGTCTGTGGGGCATGTTCATATTCATGATTGAGATGGGAGGGTCCAGCCCACTGTGGGTTTGACTGTGCCTGCACAGGTGATTCTGGGTTGTTTGAAAAATCAAGCCAATGAGTCCTCTGTGGCTCTGCTCTAGTTCCAGCCTCCAGGTTCCTTCCTTGAGTTCCTGTCCTGACATCCTTCACTGATGGATGTAGTCAGGACTTGTTAGCTAAATAAGCCCTTTCCTCCCCCAGGATGTTTCTGATATTTCTCAAACAACAGAGACCTAACTAGAAATCTAAGCCTTTACTCTGAGGGGTTCCTTGATCTCCCTAGAGTTTTTAAGTCTTAAACTGATCCACACCGAGTTTTGAACTATTAGTCAATTATAATTTGGATTTCCTTTCATAAGTACTGGCTGCTGCAGAGGTTTCTTATGGGCTTCTGTTCCGGCATTGCAATTCTAAGTGAGTTTTCTCCAAGTTGGAGGAGCAGCTTTCTCTATGACTTCATTTCATAAAGGAGTCCAAGAAGAATTTTGATTTTCTGATTATTAAGCTTTTTTATTAGAGAGATTGGGTTGGCATCCTCCAAGATCAATTACATGTCAGACTGACAACTGGACTTTTGAAACTATTTTTCAAATTGCAACATTTAACTACAGGTTTGCTTTTCCCCCTAAAATAAGTGAAAGAAATCTTCATATTGTATCATAGCTTTTGATTATAGTAATAATGAATATTAGCTTGAGCATTCATATATTTGAGAATTTTGTTTTCAGAAAGTGAGGTGCCTCCGTAGCTATTCAAGTCCTGACTCTCTTATTCCTTATATTACCCATTGCTGGGCCAATACTGTGTATAAAACAAAGATGTTCAAACTATAGAGCAGCCTGCTGCATTTGTGGTTCTTTTGGACACTGGTTCAGGGACACTGCACATTTCCGTCTTTGTCTCTCCTGCCATTTAGTCCTCACACATGATTGACATTTGACCATTGATAGTAAGTTTCTTATTTTTCAGCATTTTTTTAAAGTGCCTCTTTTTTTTTTTTAAGGTGGTAACCATTTTAAATAAGTCTTTCCTCTAGGCCTTGATTGCTTGAAGAAACAAACTTCCAGAAAAAGGACACTTGTGATATGGCCATCACAGACTTCAGCTGTCCATCAAGTAACCCAAGTACTCGATAATATTGCCTATTATTGGGTGGCCTTTTTTACCTTCATATAATTGTTGTTTGTTAGGAAATTGATAGTATAAGTCTTCCATAATTCATTTCATGCTGGATTCCTTAGTACTTAATAAATATAAGTATGCTTAAATGCTTTAATATGTTTTGATTTCTGCTTTTAATAGGATGAACTAGCTGGAATGAAAAATAGGGTACAAGTAGTTGTACTTGAGAATGAAAGGCTCCAGCAAGAACTGAAATCTCAAAGACAGGAGGAGACCCTGAGGGAGCAGACACTTCTGGATGCATCTGTGAGTGGTGTTTATGGCCATAATCTTTTATTCGGAATGTCTCTTCCTACCCTTTATCCCAGTTTTTCAACTTTGACCCACCTTTGGCATAAATTGTCATCTACAGTGTTTATATTCAAGAACTGGGAAGTTGAGTGACAAAGAAAAAGGAGCAAAACTAAACAAAAACTCATGGTATTTTAAGTAAGTTGATGACTTTGTTTTGGGTTCCACTCAAAGCTATTCTGGGGCTCATTTGACCCATGATGCACAGGTTGGAATCACTGGGTCCATATCTGTGAAGTTTGGAGAGAGTACCGTGCTCACATTTGCATGGGGCCTCAAAAGTCAGAATCAGTTGTGGTGGGGTGGATCTGCAAGTGACTGAATGGGCACTTAGAGGTCCCTCAAGTTTCTCCTCTGAGCATGCTCCTATGCCTTTTCCATATGGAAAGAGGAACTGCCAAGCACAGAATGTGTTACATAGGAGGAACTGTGCTAATAGAAATGGCTCAGAATCTTACCCAGGTCTGTTGACCAGAATTCTGTAAGTTTTTCTTGATCGCTAAGATGATGAGCAGCATTGTGTAGTGGAAGAACACAGATCCGTGAGGCTGAGACTCAAGGTTCTTCCTCTGTGGTCCATAAGTCTTAGTTTCCCATGGTATTTGGTAAGTAGTTTAATAAGTCTTGTCTGGCTTACCTCGAGGATAGTTAGTTCCTCTATTGGTAGTTTGAGAAGCTTTACCCACATCTGGGTCTGCAGTAAGAGTTGTTGGGTTCTGTTCCTCGAGAGGCTGGTTTTCCTTGTCTGGTTGGGCCCTAGAAATATTAGCATCAAGTTACCTATGTGATTTCTAGTATCACTGGCCAAATTTTGAAGAAGAGTGTGGGTCAAATTGTCTTTAGAATTTTGTGACACAAAGTTCTTGGAATTATATTTAATTTGTGTTTAAACTTAATATCTTCTTATCATCTATCAAAGATACTATTGTATTAAAGTATTTTTTTTCACTCTTTTAACCATGGAACATAGCTAGTTAGAGCCTGTTCTTTGTGAGACAAATTCTACCTTCCATGGGAGAGTTTCAGTGCTTGTTGGCTGTGGCTTACTTTGTTATGAACTTTGGTGTTTTTTGTTTGTTTTTATACTTAGGTGTCATTAGTAAATCAATTATATTAAGAAGAATATGGGAGAGTCTTGATGATTTACTTATGTATTGTCTGATTTTGGCTTTGAAGCTTTCTTGCCCCAGTCTGATTCAGTATTTCATTTCTGGTCCTTGAGTTGTGTGCGTAAGAATTTTCTGCTGAGAATCATCTGATTGTGTTATCTTTGAAAACTCTCCGGTGGACTGATGATTAGTGTTTCCATTTCCATTGGTGACAAGTTACTTACCCTTTGATATATAATTATCTTGAAGCTTTACATAATTAATATTGGTTGTTAAAAATTCCATTTTAGTGCTTATAATTTGAATGTCAAATTGAAAAAGTTATCACCCTATAAAAAGTACTCTGGAATAGCCCATTTAAAAATACAGTCTTGTGCTTTTCCTCTAACTATATAATCACTTAGCAGTAAGTCAATTATTTATAGTCTTCAATATTTATACAGCGGCAAAGAAGTGGTAGAAGAGGAAGCGAAGTGAGAGGAAACCAGGCAGACAAGGGAATACGAGGCCAGGAGAAACGAGCAATGCGGGGGAAGGAAGTGATGGGCACAGCACATCTGGCCTGCAGTAGAGTATTTGCCAAAAACAGCACAGTCATAATCTTAGAATAAACAAGGGAGGTTTGATGTCGATCTTACTCATTCACATGAAAGGAAAAGTGATGCAGAGACGGCAGTGACTGCTGCAGGTCCGCTGGCTGACCCTCGTAGTCTCTGCTCTCCACTGTTGCAGGACAGTTGCCCCTGCTTGCAGCGGTCGGATCAATAAATCACCAGTAATTGATATTTAAACAAATTTAATAACAAAACAGACTCACAAAACCAAGGTTCCAGCGGGGTAGCCAGCGGAAACAGGAGAGCAAGCGGAAGGGCCCGCGCAGCCTCTGCCCGCGCACTATATCAGTAAACATACGCCTGAGGGCAGCCCGCCCCCAAGGGGAGGGCTTATCCCTACATCTCCCTCCTTTTGTCTAAATAAGACAGAACTAACCTAAATACAACTATAAACAATAATAATAAATAATAGATATAACAAACAATATTGAGAACAAAAGTTTTACCAGACATTCTATCTCAAGGAGTCTAAATAATGTAGAGAGTAATTACAATTATATAATCTTCAACTCCATCAAAGATCCGAGAAGGGAATAAATATTACTTAACAAATGAGCGATATCCAAAGCGTGCCATAAATGACAGAGACAACAGACTACCTGGGCAATCACCCAAATTCTCGTTCGCAATGTTGAGTCAACCAACTTTGGCTAAGGCCTAGCATGACTGACATACCATTATCAAATGCAAGGAATTTTCTTAGAATTATCCTACCCTGTCTTGGCAAGATAAGAAAATCCTGTTTCATATCTTTGTCAGTAGATGAGGTATGGGCTTTTCTTAACCCAAAGGCCAATTCTGCCAAGAAGACAAACTCCCAGTGGAGTGTCTTTGGTGCTCAACGTTCTCTCGGGAGTAGAGTGGTGTCGCCAGGAGTAATTGTGTCTCGGCACAGAATTCTAGGTTAGCTTAAAGGCCATTTTCTACAGCTCTTTAAAGAGGCTGAAGATTATACTATCTATACTAAATATAATCTCTATGTATCTAGAATACCTTATTAACCTAAAAATAAACATGAACAACATAAAATTCTCAATACCTATCTAACTTGAAGACTAAAAAAAAAAAAAAACTGTGCAATACATGAAGACAATGATCTTCATCTGTAAACAATGTCATTACATATCAAATGTAAACAATGTTATTACATAAATAGTATCAGAGGTAGAAATGTACATTGTGATATGGTAGATGTATCAATACAATATAAGTATACTCTTATACAAAAATAGAGGTAGGAACACTCACATTCAATATTCAATATGTCAATATACAGGAAACAGTACCAATACAATTTTCTAAAAACAGTAACTCACAAATACCAATCATCCCATCAAACCAGTTAATCCCCCTTTTAGGTGGGTGGGTGGGTAAACAGGTTCTTCACCAATGCATACTGCACTCCAGTTAAGATGAATAAGACTTTTTAGGAGACCTTAAATGTCAGTAGGTTAAGCATATTTTTCTAAGGAAGAGTAACTCAAATGTTCATACTAAATCTCAGCAATGCTATTGGTTAATTTGAACTTAGATTTCTCAGTGTTGTGCAATGTCCTCTTTTGTGAATCACTGAAACAGTGATGTAGTAATAACTATCATTTGTCATGACTGCATGGGTTTGTCAGGCGCTGTATCAAGCCTATTATTTATCTTGTTATTATTTCAGTTTCACAATAATCATCTAAAGCAGAGGATAAAGTTAAAATATGTAGTAGTTAAGTAAGTAAGTGGTAAACTGTCAGAGAGCTATAAAACGGCAAAGGTATGACTGGAGCCCAGCCAGGACTGTCTGGCTCCTGAACCCATTGACCTAACCTCATACTATGCTGCCTGTCGGCATAAATTAGCGAGAGATGCTTGTACTGCACCAGACTGTACTGACGCGAAGTCCCCCCAGAGAAGAGAGGAGTCTTCTCTGTTCCCTATTTTATCTCTGCACTTGCATGCTAGCCAACAAGACTCAGAACTTTTGGACTAGTTGATGACCTAGATGTTATAGAAAAATGGTGGTGGGATTTTATAACTAAAGCTATACAGGGTTGGAGAAATAACTCAGCAGTTAAGAGCACTAGCTGCACTTCCAGAGGACCTGGGTTCAATTCCCAGCACCCATGTGGCAACTCACCAGTGTCTGTAACTCCAGTTCCAGGGGATCCTACATGTTCACATAGACATACATAAAGGCAATACTTCAGTATGCATAAGATAAAAATAAATAATTTTAAAAACATAAAAAACTAAAGTATACATCATTCATCTTTTTAAATAATTTTTTTTTTAAAAATTGAACATTTATTAGATGGGTTATGGAGGAGAAGGAAAAGGGAAGAAGGAGGGGAGAGAGAGAGAAAGAGAGAGCTTAAATCATTTTTTAATTCTCATAAAATCCCTCTTCCAGGATTTTTTTCTATAATTAAAAAGTATAATAATATCAAATATGTTACTTATTAGAAATTTTGGAACTTACTCAAAAGATCTAGGATAGTTTTTTTGTTTGTTTGTTTTTTTCAAGACAGAGTTTCTTTGTGGCTTTGGAGCCTATCCTGGAACTCGCTCGGTAAACCAGGCTGGCCACGAACTCACAAAGATCTGCCTGCATGTCTCCCGAGTGCTGGGATTAAAAGCATGTGCCACCACCACTCAGCCAGGATAGGATTTTTTTTTTAAGCAGAAAATTTCTGCGTCATTTTCTTTAGTAATGTTTCTGAAAATAAGTAAATAAGAAGTTTTCAATGATTTTAAGGATTTGAAAAATTTTGGTTAAATACTATTGAAGATTTTTTAGAGCTTTCTGTAGAAGACAAGTACTTACTTCTAAAGAATAAGATTTGCCATCATGAGTCAGCACGTGCAGTGCATGTGCTTTAGCCAGTTTCTCTAGAGGAGGCAGTGCCCTCGTCCTCCACTGCCTCCAGAAGCACTTTGAATACAGAAGACCTTGAGAGAGCTGGCTCTCTTACACAATAGGTTACAAACTTGTTGCCTGGGACCCCTCTTGATCGCCCAGATTTCTCTTCTCACCACCCTTATGTTACCTCTGCTAATTGTGAGGACGAGCTTCCTGTGAGCATGCCTGTGGGTGCTGTGCTCAGCCCCACTCTGAGTTTTCTTGGGAGGGGGCCTCTTTCTGGATGTTTTCCCATCTAAATGGCACACCAGGAACAAAACTTTTCCAGAAAACTCATTTGAATTTCTGATTTCTATCAACATCCTTCCCCTATTCTGGCTTATTGGGGGTACTGCAGTGTCTTTGAGAACAACTGAACTTTCCTTGGCTTGAAGAACTACAACCCTGGAAAACTCAATGGCCACTTACAGCTAGTGACTCTCAGGTTCCTTGTCTAGAAAATTAATTAGTAACACAGATCACAGAGGATCAGTATTAGTGAAAAGTTTACTATATGTTCATAGGTGGGATGGAGGGAAGGAGAGACAGAATAAGAGAAAGGTAAAATTGATATGAGAGAGAGCGAGAAAGAGAAAGGAGAGAGAGAGAGAAGAGATAGAGAATACAAAAAACACAAAGCTATTTAGCAGGAGGAGTTCTATATGAGGTATGAGCAAACCTCAAACTTCTGGTCTAGGGCTTTTTAAAGAACGTACTGCAGAAATTGGGGTGAGGTATGAGGAGGGCCTGAGATGGTAGTCTAGTTGATCTTACTGGATTCTCTGGGCACACCTGTAGTTCAGAACTTACATTTTCAACTCTTAATTTTAACTCTTAATTTAACTCTTGTTAGACTGTAAACCCCTTGTAGCTAAGCTTTGTCATTTTTTTTATCCCAAGTTATTAGCATGGTGTTTTTTAACGTAATAGGTGGTATACATGTGTATGCACACAGTAGGTTCTATACACATGTCTGAACAGAGTAAGTGCTATCTGTACACATGTCTGACCACAGAAAGTGCTATATATGCATCTGAACAACACAGTAGGTGCTGTATGCCTGCTTGCACTAAACTGAGCTTGCAAGAGTATGGAGTAGAGTCAGTACTGCTCTAGAATGCACTCAACCACAGTATAGATCGGTATGGCATCGCTGTACATACAGATTACGGCACTGCGTGTATACAGATTGGTATGGCACTGCTGTATACACAGACCGATACGGCCTGTATATGTAGTTCAGTGTTTGGGGGCCCATCCTTCTTTATGAGTATTGCATCCTTTGGCACTTAGCAAAGACTCAGGGATTATTGATAACTCTAAACTAATATAAGTATGGTAGTCCTTACTATGCACACGCATATCCCAGATCTTGAAGTAGCTTATATCTTTGAACGTTTACAGCAGAAATTATAAATTGATTATAGCTTCATCGAAGTTGATCATCTGTAAGTCAGCATTTAGTAGTGTTTCACACACTCTCTGCCCATGTGGGCACTTGACCCTGTACTTCCCATTCCAGCCTAGCTCTGAGAGCATGAACATGCAGAGTGATGCATGACTTAGAGCCTTGGCATGTGTGTTTCCTCATGGGCGGGAACCATGATTCCTTTTATAGTCTGCATTTTTATTTAGTGTTGAATGCCAGCTACAACTAATGGTGCATTTTATTTTAGGGAAACATTCAGGATTCTTGGATTAAGACAGGAGAAGATTCCAGGGTGGATGAAGCTGCAAAGAGACCATTTTCTCACGGTGATGCTGAAACCGGCAAAACTACATCCTTCAGCGATGCTGAAAAGTGGAAGCTAGAGCTGGTGAGTGTGGGATTTTTTATTAATATTATTATTATTACGTATCTCCATCTGGTCCTGAGTTTATATCTAGAAGTGGACTTGTTGGATCACATGGTCATTCTTCACCTTTCCCCTTTGGTCCTTAGTGCTGACCATTTCAGTCCCCCTTCAGCTCACCAGTGCTTTGTTCTGCCTGCTCACATCCACTCCTGAATCCCTCAATGTATTTGTCATGTCAGGTATTGTATTTTGTTTTTGTTGTTGTTCTAGAGTTTTGTTTTGGTTCCTTTCTGTAACTTCCCCTGCTTTCTCTAGTTCTTTGACTATACTTCCTAATTGCTCTTTGGTTGTATTCAAAGCAGTTGCTTAAAGCCATTTCTTTAGTAAGTCTGATGTCTGTGGTTTCTCCAAGATTTGTTTTTCCACCTACGCTGTTCCTCCTTTCTTCCCAAACTTTCCCCGACAGTTGAGTATATCCGTATCTCCGCTCCTTGCCTCCCACTTTGACTCTGACACTAGCAGTGTGTTCAGCCTGCAATTCTAAGGTTACAAGTGAGCTGTACCCTGTATAGTGTTGATCCCATATGTGCCAGGTCAGCAGGCTGCTCCCTAGCCCCTCTAACACTAGCACAACTGAAGATGCACTCATTAAGGTCCTCCAAACAGTTTCATGGCCCAGTAATTTAGCTCTGAAAGGCATTCGTGTAATTATCCTTCGGGTCAGGATGTTTTTTTGTTTTTGTACCTCTCTTGTGCTCCACGGGCTTCGCTGTGCTCCTGCCGTTCACTGATTCGTCATCCCCATAACTAATCACCAGCCTGACTTTCATCAACATTTGCCAAGAACGCATTACTGAACGTTGTACTTGAATCTTGCCAATTAAAAACGGTATATAAGGTGAAATCGTATAATGGTGTATATTCTTTTGTATCTGTTCTCTTCCCCCATCTGCCCTCCCCTTTGTCTTTTAAATTTAGTTTGACTTTTAGAGACAGGGACTCATATAGCTCAGGGTGGCCTTGAACTCACTGTGGTACCAAATTGAGCTTTGAATCCAACTCTCCTGCCTCTATCTCTCAAGTGTTGAGATTACATGTGTGTCCCACCAATTTATCTTTCTTTCCCATTATTGTGCTTCTATTCATGTTACTGCATGGAGCAGAAGCCTGCCTGTTTTCGTCGAGGGGCCGCAGGATGAGTATACCACAGTTGATTTCTCTAGTGTTGATGGACACTGGTGGTGTTTCTAGCTTGGTGCTGGTGTATTGCTGCAGAGGACTTTCGTTATGCCTGGGGGAGTGCACCTCACCCATTTTTATGTCTGTGTCCCTGAGAATGGAACTCTTGATTCAGGCTATGCCAATGTTCTGCTTGGACTGAATATCAATGCCCATCTTTCAAGCAGTTCTTTACCAGTTTACACCTTGTCAGCAGCCCAGGAATGATCATGACATTCCACTCCCTTCTTCATATGCTGCCAGTAGGTTTTTTTTTTTTTCTGATGATTTGTGTACATGTGCTTGGGAGTTTTGTTTATTTGTTCTTTATGTATTTGTTTGTTTCGTATAAAGTCTCTCTTTGTAGCCCAGGCTGATCTGGAACTTATTATGTACCCCAGACTATCCTTGAGTTAATGGCAAACCTCCTACCTCAGAGTGTTTCTGTTCTGTATTTTGTTACATTTATCTGATATGTTAATTTGGGGGAGTTATTTTTATATTCAGATACAAGATTCTTCACACACACAGACATTTTAATATGTTATAGTAAGTTGTCGTCTAACTTTTTAGTGAGTGGCTTACTTTTTAGTACTTCTGATAACTAGTTGCTGGCTTTAGTTACAAAGATTTCATTGTTGATTCACTGTGATGTGCCTTCTGTGTCTTCTTTAATAGTCCCTTCCTACGCAGACATGGCATGTTTTCCTGAAGTGTCTTCCGGAGAGGATAGCTGTGCCTTTTACATTTAGATGTACAGGCTTCCCAGAATCCATCTTAGTAGGTGACATGAAACACACAGATCACATTTTTCTCATGTGTTTATCAATATACCAGAGTTCTATTAATTGTAAAGGTAGTCTTTTGCCTTCTTTGTTTGCTTTCTTAATTTTGTTTTTGTGGTGTTGAAGGTTCAACCCAAGACCTTGCACAGGTTAAGGCTGGCATCCTCTTGTGAGCCTCCTCTGCATCACATACATTTCCCACAGGTTAAGAGTGGCTCTTTATCTGTTTCATTGAGTTCATGCTATGCTATCTTAAGTATGACAGCTTGAATCTGGTAGACCATGTCTCTAAGGCATTATTCTTTATCCAAAAGAATACCTTTACTATTTTGGCCTCTTGCACTTCCATTTACATTGTGGAATTTGATTTAGATTGCCCTTAGAGTATGTGTCATCTGAGAATTAATATTCTTATAATAGCATTTCATCCATCCTTATGAACTGCATATAACTCCATTTACTTATGTCATCCTTAATTTTTAGTATTTTTTTTTTGTTTGAGGTGCTAGGAATCAAAACATGGGCCATGCAGAGCTAGGCAAAGCCCTGCATTGCTGAGTTGTATCCCTGGCCCTTGGATTTCTTGAAACAGGGTCTTGCAGTGTAGTCCAGGATGCCCTGGAGCATGATCCAGGCTGATCTAGAACACATCATCTTCCTTCCTGTGCCTCTGGAGTGCAAGGCATATGGAATGCACTGCCATGCTTGGCGGTTGCTAGTTTCTCTGAGTAAAGGATTTACATGTCTCATTAGAACTAGTTCTACTTGGTTCAGATGCTATCATAAATGATACCTATTTTCACATTTCATTTCCTGACTCCTCGCATGATAAAAATCTTACAGGCTCAGCTACTTCACTAAGCACACTTTTTAAGAGCTAGCATCAGAATGGCGAGATTTCTCCTTTCCTGTCTTTATCTGGTATCTGAGGGGAGTTTCCTTGAGAAAGTACATAGTTGTTAGTTTTATGATATGGTATCTATGCCATTGTTAATTGGTGGGATTATTCATAAGTTGGTGTTCACTCAACATAATCATATTGCTGTCTGAGTTCTTTTTATTATACTATTGTTTACCCCCTTTTGTCATTGTTTGAATTCTTTTTGTGAGTTCCTTTTCTCTGCTTAATTGATCTGAAGTAATCTTAGCACTAGCATACACTTTATTGCTCAATTCAAAACCCTTGGATTATTTTTAGAGTCTTTTCCTGTTTGCTATCTCATATCTAACCAGTTATAGAAGTTAGTCAACCCAACTCTTGAATACCTCTCTACGTTAAAAACTTACTTCTCAATGTTTGTTGCTGGGTTTCTTTGGTTCACAGTTTGACCTCTTATCTATGTATCTGCAATTACTTTTTTATAAGCATTCTTTCCCCTTTATTCTGATGTGTAATTCAATCTGATAAAAAGTTTTCAGTGTATGTCCAATGCCTCAGCTACATGGGCAGAATAAATAAATTTCTTAACATTTATATTCATCCCATGTTCCACACTTTCCTGTTTCTCCCAAGTCCAGCTGCCCTTTCTCTTAGCATTTTACCTTCTAGCATTACAAAGATAAGGCGCAGATGTCTTTAGATTCCATGGCCTCAGGCATCTTGAAGACCATCCTTTAAGTCTTAACACCTGCTCTGGGAAGCCCAAAGGACTTCTTCTAGCTGGATTCTGTTTTCCCTCCCATTTATCTCACAGAGAGTCGTGTGCCCTTTTGTTCCTTGTAGAGTCTAAGCTCTTGCTGAGGTTTGAGGTACCCTATGTAGACACTGAAAAGTACTTGTTAAATGGTAGATTGCACACCGAGTGGCTCACAGGTAGGGTGGCCATCGATCTTATCATGGTAGGCATTAAACTTTTAGCCTTTCCCATTTGTTATGTGTGTATATTGCATGGCAAACCTGCTTCACTTACAATGGGGGATTCTCTTAAGGTTTGGGCTTTACCCTCATGAATCTACCAATCTTCTGTAGAGCCACACTTTTAAGGCTAAGACCTGCTATGTGCAGTTTTGAAAGAAAATAAAAACTTTTGTCAGTCACCACTTTGGGACCTAGTGGTTTTTTTCTTCCTTTTTTTTTTTTTTTTTATTGATATTCACCTAATAACCAGAACAGCAGAATTAGAGTGAGCCAGTGAAAACGTCCCTACAGCATTGTTTTTCCTGTGGGTAAGAGAGAAAAACTTTAGCTAATATTTAGAATTTAAATTTTCTCATGAAAAGAAGCATTGCCAAAGTGTGCTTTCTTGCCCTGTTCACAGGAGAGGCTGAAACTTACATATGAGGCGAAGAGCGACCTTCTGGAGTCTCAGTTGACGCTTCTGAGGTAAAGTGACGTTATCCATTTGCAGATGGAGCAAAAGGATGGGCTCTTAAGATAGACTCTAATGTGTGGTGTGCTACCAGTGTTACCAAAGAGTATTACTTGATAGCATTTTCTATGTAGTACAGCAATGGAGCAATCCCTCTGTGCTTCAGATTGGGGTGAGAATTAGTGAGATACCATATGTCCACACCACAGATGGCGGTGGAAGTTCTCTCTGATGCTTCATTTGAAAGCGCTGCACGTTTCCCTGGACATTATCTAGAATTTTTCCTCTTTCTTTTAGGAAAGACTTAGTTGAATATCAGAAAACCTGTGAGGATCTTAGGGAAAGATTGAAGCATAAAGAATCTCTTCTGGCTGCTAGTGCCTCCAGCCGTGTGGGTGGCCTCTGTTTGAAATGTGCTCAGCACGAGGCCGTCCTTTCCCAGACCCACAGCAATGTGCACATCCAGACCATCGAGACACTGACCAAGTAAGTATGCAACGTGTCTGGTTGCCTTGCCAGTGGGGGATATCGTGTCTCTGAGGGCATTGTGTCCTTTGTCCCATGCTAAGTCACATGTTGTTAAGCTCCAAAATATCTAAATTTTTAAATGGTTCTTTTATTGTAGCTTTCTTGAAGAAAGAATAGCTAGGGTCTGGCCTACTGGCTGTGGGGAACCATATCACTGAGCAAATTTTTTTACCTCTTAGTTCAAATCTCATTTGAAGTAAGGGAATTGAAATAGTTAATCATCACGGGTCGCCCAGGTCAGTGAACCCAGTCTTAACACTGTTCTTTACAAGACTGAGTAAGAGGGGAATTCCTTTCATTTCCCTGCATCTTGGATTTACCAGTGTGGTTTGGGCAGAATGGACTCTCAGTGCATATTCTTCATGTGCCTATTGCAAAGAATATTTATTCTGATTTAGTGCAGTAAGATGCAGCTGTCACAGTATTAGCAGGTGAAGGCCGACTGGGGAGTGATTATGGAGGTTTTGTCCACGTTCTCACCAGGCTGAAATACTACAGTCCTCCGTGTGCATCTCTTATTCTGTTTCCTTTGGAAGAGTCTTTTTTTTTTGTCTGTAAAATTTTATTCAGTAGAAATTGAAAATTATTATTTATTGTAGCATCCCGTGCTGCTTTGCGTCCTGTGCTTTCCTATGCTGATGACTCTTGTCTCCTCCTGGTCTGCTCTGCTCCATCTGAGATCCCAACCAGCGTCCTTTTCAGAGTTATCCTCACTAAGCCCCACCCACTCGGTCCTCAGCTGGGTTATGATTTCATATATAGTTTAGGATACGTCATATGCACGTGAAAGCAGCACGGATACTTGGTTTATTGCTTCAGCCCAGGGTCCTAGCAGAGTATCTGCTCAGGTCTTCTCTATCCAAATTCCTGGCTTCTCTAAGGCTAATTCCAGACAGCTGGTCTCTGGCTCCGCCCCTGATTCAAGGTTAACCCTATTAACAGTTTCGGAGGGTCACAATATGATTAAATATCCCGTAACATTTTACAAAAATGAATTATTACGTTAAAGAGCCAAATGAAATTCAGGCTGTGAGAATATTAGAAGCAAACTGATGGCCTTTAAGTTGTGTGCTAAGTATAATGTGCAAAGAGAAAGTCATAAACAGAAAAACAATTCTTCCCTCGGCCTGTTAAAAAATTAATTCATGGCACTGGACATCGTAGCCCAACACCTGTAACAACAGTACTTGGTAGATTGAGACGTGTAAGCCAGCCTCAACTATAGCACAAGACCCTTCTCACAGAACAGAAAGTTGGGCATGTCGCTCAGAGGTATGCCCAGATGGAAATAATCTTAATTCATTAATTTATGTAAAATAAGGTATTCCAACTTAGAGTAAAAGACTGGGGAGATACTTGCCATGTTTAACTAACTAATAGTAGAGTATGCGCAAGTTTAGAGATGAAAAGCCACTTATCGACTTGCTGCACCGAGTAAAGGAAAGGAATCTGTGAGAGGAAGCTGCCAGCCATGAGAAGATGGTCGTTCAAGCTGAGGAAAAACTAACCCGTCAGACTGGTGAGGATTAGTGATTGGTGACTGCCCCAAGGGCAAGGTAGGCAGCCATTTTTCATGCCCCGCTGGTGGAATATGAAATTAGCATAGTCACTTTGCAGGGCGCTGTAGCTCTATCCACTACTATTTCAAGTTTGCACTGTGGTTTCCTGTGAGGAAGCAGAGCACGCACAAAGAGTGCTTTCGGAGCATTGTGATGGTGAGAGCCTGAGCATCCTTCTAAGGGGAAAACCAAACTGGGGCTTCTGTCGGCCCTGAAGAGTTATGGATGGCACTTTAAAAAAAAAAGAAAAAATTGTGAGCTGGATAGATAGTTCAGCCAGCAAAGCTGCTAGATGATCTAAGTTTAATCCCTGGACCCACATAATGGAAGGAAAGAACCGACTTCTGCAGGTTGTCCTCTGACCTCCACAGGTGTGCTGTGGCACATGCACGTGTAACACACACACAAAGTAAATAAATATGAGAAATTAAGGATTGTTCACGTACATAGTTCACACAAACTTGCGTATGAATGCACACACATAAAGAAGTAGAGAGGGCACATGTGAACTAATGTGAAACTAACTCCAAAGTAAATAAAACTACTGAAGATAACACTAGTGGAAAGCTGTTGGATTTTCTAGGTCAAATACAATATTAGACATTTTCTCTAGGTTCATAGAAATTGACTTAAAAGACTAGACCAGATGTTTAGCAATGGTTAAAGTAAAAAGGCGACTAGAATTCCAGATTTGTTTCAAATAGTCTTTGGTAATTAATTTTACACAGATATGTTATAAAAAATAAAAATATTTTATATTAAATAGATTTTCAAAGGTAGTTTTAACTAGTTTAGTAAAATTACCCAACAAATAAAATGGCTACAATGTTTATAATGGTGAACAGAGTCCATGGTGTTCACAGTGGTAAGCAGGGGCCACGGTGTTCACAGTGGTGAGCAGGGGCCACGGTGTTCACAGTGGTGAGCAGGGCCTACAATGGTCACTGTGGTTGAGCATCTGGCTTTCATTTAGTAATCAGGTTCTTGTCAGTTACGGATTCTGTTGTCACTGTCTTAGGTCTGACTCGGCCTCAGAAAGGAAGTGGCAGCCTGCCTAGCTCCCGTTTCTGCCATGTCAGCAGTGTGCTCCATGTTCCGCTTTGGAAACAGAAAAGGGAGAAAGGTCTCTGCTTTGTTATTTTTAGGGTTTTGGGTTCTACAGCTCCCTTTGTCTCCTCTGACTTTTAACCTTTCCAACTTATTACTGCACACTGTTGCCCACTGAGTGGCACGCTGACTTAGGGAGGCATCCAGCATGGGGCAGGTTTGGGTTTCTAGCTTTGTGTACTTAAAGTTGGTACTTGCTGCGTGGTGTTAGGTAGCATTCAAAAATTGGACCTTAAATATGATAAATCCAAAAAGGTTGCTGTATCCTTTTTGAAATATGGCCTTATGAAGCTGGTTGTCAGCTGACTCACTCCACCCTCCAGCAAGTACTGCTTGGACGTGTGATTCAGGGGTGACTTGCATGGCAGATGGGGGTGGAGGGGTGAGGCATATCCTGGGGACCAGACCAGCTGTATGTTTGTGGTGTTTTATATTGGGTATGTAGGGATTTGTTGATATTGGTTGTGATTCTTAAGTTGATTTAAGTTCTTCTGCAGTGCCGTTCACTTGGGCCGCTGTGTGCTGGAGAGTAGGTCAAAGTAATATTTACTCCTCTTATTCCTTTCCTAGTGCTCCCGTGTCAGTAGCCATCCAGGCGGTAGTTCAGAATTGTAAGAGAAATCCTGGTGAAATCCTGGCTACTTTTTTTTTTTTTTTCTGAGAAATGTTTCCCATAGTGCTGCCTGGGATTCGATCCATTTTGGGATCCTTGGCTGGCTTCTGTCCAGCTGGCTTTGAGTGGCTGCAGCAGGGAGCTTTCCAGAAACGGGGACAAAGAAACCCTTCATGAGCTCTCTGGACTTTCCATTCACACCAGCAGTGCTAATGCTGACTAAAACGACGCTTATTAGAAACACTTAAAACTGCCCATGACATTCCCTAGTTATTCCACTTTTCAAGGTGAAGTTGGTACCCGGCTCTTAAAGCAGCCCTGTCCTTGTGTATTGCGCACATGGCTAAAAGCGCTCAGGGTCTTTGCCTGCTTTGAATGCTGCATGAGGTTCCTAATGTACTACGGTCACCAGTGACCAGCTTTGTTCCGGTGCTGTCTTTCTGCCCTAACTGCTTACGCCAGGCTGTGGAATAGTATGAGCTTAACATCATGTGGTCAGCCATTTCCTTAGGATGCTCCCTGGCTGAGTCCCTGAAGTCACCATCTGCTGTTTTTAAGGACTTGCGGAACTTTGCCTTGGAAGATGATGTCACTTGTGTCTGTCCCTCTGTAAGAACATCCTCAGCCTAGCACTGGGTTTGCCCTCTGAGCACAGCTTCGGGGGCAGGAGTACAACTGCCCAATAGCCCACCTGGCTGCCTGCCATGATGACTTCATATTTCTGAAGAACAGATAACCAGTAGTCTTGTCGGATGCAAGAGGCAAGTGTGGGGTGAGAAACAAGAGATCAGCTAAGAAAGTGTCAGGCAGATGAAGATGGGGTGGCGGAAGCCTGGGCTGCCACCCAGAGCTCTTTGTTTCCTGAGTATCCGCTGTTGGGTAGTTGAGGAAGCAGGAAGCGGAGATGGAACCCAGCCAGAGGCAAGCTGTAGCTAAGAGTAGGATCCTAAGCTGCCTGCTGGGATGATCCTGCCTTGTTGCCAGTGGTCATGGGAGGAAGTGGAGCCGGTCAGGCCAGTCTCTGCAGATGTTCAGTTACTCGTTTAGCCATCTTCTGAAAGATAATTAATGAAACATGTGTGCTTGGGTTCATCTTTAATGATTTTCCATAGCTTAAGAGTGGATGGATTTACATTCTGAAACATCTTGAACTAGAAGAACTAACTTTGACTCTGCTCTTTAATTAAAAACCACCTTTTCCATTTAAATCTCACAATATTGTGACAGTGGGAACTTTCTCTTGGGGTCCCTTCTGAAATCTTCCTGTTGGAGATTTCTATATTCATATCCTTGAGCTTTTTGGTTTTATTTAATATGGAAAAGTAGTAGACTCCAAAGCAGATTAAAGTATTCTAAAGTTTTTAATTTTACATTGAAGTATTGTGTGTGCGTATGTTTGTGGGAGCACACATGGCACATATGTGAAGGTCAGAGAACTCGGTTGGGAGCTGGTTCATTCCTTCCACCATGCAGGTCCTAGGGACCACGCTGGCTTGTCAGCCCTCACTCACAGCAAGCGTTTTCCCCAACAGCCATCTTGCAGGCCCTGTTCATTTGTTCTTTCTGTCATTTACTTTGTTGAGCATCTATTACATGACAAATGCCAGTCTTGATAAGTGGATGCCCCCCAAATAGACTACGTGGATTAGAGATGTCTCCCATGAGAAGCAGATCTGTTAGACCTTGGCCTTGTGGTATCTGCTAACTTGTCCACCCACTGAACTGCTTGCCGTTCTCTTTGGAGTTGGGAGCTATCTTTGTGATATTGTAGCTTCAGGGCAGATAAAGATGTCACTGAGTTATAACTTCTGCTTCTCAGTAGCTCTCAGAGGCTTACGGGAGGTGACCCCACGATTCTCAGATTGTGAGCCATACAGGAAATTTTTCTTCTAGGATCACAGTCCTTTTGGATTGTGTGTCCTACGAAGCTGGTCCCCTTTATCTCACTTTTTTTTTTTGCAACTCAGATAAGCACAAATTCTACTTTGCTTGCATTCAATTTATCTTTTACTTTAGAATAATTTAATCTGCTTTTGAGTCTTCCACTTTCCACATAATTATTGTGCTTCATAATATTCAATCAGAATAATTAACTGGTTTTTTTATTTCATTTAGAATAAAAACTGAGTAATTTTCATCAATTTCAAACAAACCAGGAAGCTCTAAAGGGAAGCTCATCATAATTCTATGAATTTCATGCTGTTTGTTAACAATTTTTTTTTAACAAAAAGGGCTTTTATGAATGTGTTCAGTATTCCATGTTTCTTAAAATATGACTGTTTTCCAAATAACCACAAATAGTTTAAATTCTTGTCTTCGGGAAATTTGTTAAAAGGAATTATTGGTTAGTTTAGAAGGGCATTCAGACTCAGTGTTTGCAATCTTCTAAATTAATGTTTGGTTTTCTTTTTAATCCCAGTTGTTTCTTCTCTGACAGTTTGGAATCTGGCAGTGGCAAGCAAACTGTGAGCTTTGATTTTAGTGGTTTTGGTACCTCCCTGGATAGCTGGTCATCTTGACAACGTACAGGAGGGCATTTGTACAGTCCAGCAGGCTTTGCATTCTGCTTTGTATATGTAGAAAACAGACCACCTTATCTTTCTCTTTGGCTCACTGAACATGTAATTTTTTAAATTTTATTTTTGTTTTACATATATATGTGCCAGCTTGCCTGTGTGTGTACCACATGCACACGATGACTGTGGCGGGTAGAAGAAGGCATTGGATCCCAAGGGAGGAACCAAACCTATAGCTTTGTGAGCCACTTGGTGGAGTTGCTGAACCCAGGTCTTTGCAGTCCCCTCTACTAGAGTTTTTTAGACAATGATAAGTTCCAAAGTATCCTGAGAATTTGATCTGGAGTTTATTTAACCTGTGAAGCTGGATCCTACTATTTTACATGTGTCAAAACTAGTACTCTGTTAATGTTGCCCCCAATAAGCAGCGTATCTTAGTGTACATCTGAAACTTGTTTAGGAGTGGGTGAAGCTTGCTCAGGATCAAAACCAGGGGCCAAGATTTTGTTAAACTTGAGTGGAGGGCTTGAGGGTCCCATAGTGCCTGCCCACTGAAATGCAAAGAACAAGTGAGCGGACTACAGGTTTGTTCATAACTAGTGGAGAGAATTTAACTGGAAGGGAAGGAAAACTATGAGGCCCGTGAGAAAGATGCAGAAGGACGGCTTTGTATTCGTTCAGGCAAGCAGGAGTAGCAGTCCTGCACTGCCTCTGCATCCCGCCCTGCCAAGGAGGCAGACCCTGGTTCCTCTTCAGAAACTGTAAATCTTTCCCTGATGAGCAGCACAGTCTTCTGAATGTGGTTCCTTTTCCCAGCTCCTCCACTTCCTTTTCCTCCGTCATTTGCTCTTTCTGAGGCTTTGCATGGTGGTCCCACATGTGCCGCCCTTTCCACAGAAGCCGATTGTCCCGAGCAGCTGTGGTCCCGCCATGAGCGCCTCAGCCTTTTGGGCCGCTCTGCCTGCCACTTGCTGAGGGAGGACAGAGGGTCATTCTCTGGGCCGCGCTGTAATCCGTGCTGGGCAGGCCCTCCGTAGCAGTTCTTCTGACACACACGAATGCTTTCCTTTCTTCTGACTTTGAGTGCACTATCACATGGTCACTTCTCATGTGGGTGTTCTTCTTGTGCTGACAGAGAGAGGGATGACTTAATGTCTGCGCTAGTTTCTGTGCGGAGCAGCTTGGCAGAAGTGCAGCAGAGAGAGACGAGTGCCTACAAACAGGTGAAGCAGGCTGTGCAGATGACCGAGGAGGCCAGCTTTGAAAAGACCAAGGCAAGTGTAATGGCTGGAAATGGGTACAATACACAGCCACTGTTTCCCCATGTGTGTTTCTTTGATTATTTTAATAGCTAAATTAATTTCAAACACACAAGACAGATGCCGGTTCACAACTGTTGACTTCTCTAAATTAAGCAAGCTTTCTATTTGGAGAATTCTTATTCGTCTGCAAATATGTCTGTCCTGTTGCTGTTGAGAGATGATAGAACAATATGGGAAGTGCTTTGGTGTGCTTAATCTGCTTGTTTCCTGAGCGCCTTCAGGGCTGGGACAGTCTCAGCACCGACTGAGATACACAGAACATTGTGTATCTATGTTCCTGTTTGACTAAAGGCAAATGTTCCTCCTCTGTGTAAGTAGGAACTGTTGGGACGTCGAAATATGCCGGTGTTAATCACATGTGTGTCCAGTAGCATCTTTTGATGTAACTTAGATTCATTGTGAGCTGAATTAGTTGTACCTGGCCATAGTAATAAAATAATAGTTCACACTAAGTGACCAGTGTTCTAGACACTTTGAATAACTGAAGGTTACTATTGATTGATTATTGTGGTTGAGTATCATACTTTAATCAAAGTTGTTCTGTATTTCCTTTTGATGTGTTACTGGCCATACTTCAAGTGTTTAATACTTTACATTTTAGATGTGTGGTTTTGACATATGTGTGCTCATCTAGTAAATTCTATACAGAACTGTGTCTTAGTTAGGATTTTCTTTCTGTGAAGACACCATGACCATGCAGCTCTTATAAATGGAAGCACTTAGCTAGCGTGGCTCACCTTTGTCTCTGCATCCTCCCTCTCCTTGGCTACTTCTTTCTTTATCATCTCCTTCTCCAATGCCCCATCTCACCCATGTCCTTGAGCACCCCTGCCTGAGGCTTTCCCTGTCACTGCTCCCTGGAGCTTCTTTTCTTGCTGCTCCTAGACCTACGCTGCTGGTGTCTTCCACACAGCCAAGCTTTCCTCTCCCACTTCTCTTCCGTCCACTGTCTGTTGAGTAATGCCATCCATCTTCCTAGACAACAGTCCTTAAAATCCCTCCAGTGTTGCCCCACCCCGACCATGACTTTCTCATTCCCCACGCTGTTTGTCTGCAGAGTTCCCTGTTCGCTGTGCCCACCTTTCACCTCCTCTACCTTTGCGGTATTTCTGTGCCCTTCCGCCATGTGTGTAAACTGTGACAGTAGCTTCCTGGTTGCTTTCTCTTGGGCATCTCCCTGTTCCAGCCTGTCCTTTGCATTGTCTTAGTGTTCCTGAATTGTAAACACCCCCACTGAGGGAACTCCCATATCGAAGGTACTGATCCCTAGCTGGCCTTTCAGAGGCTTCAGTCCAGCTGCTCTCCGACTGTCCTAGAGTCACCTCTCCCCACACTCAGACAACGAAGACCGTGAGTTATGACTCAGCATTTTCATGGGTCCACTGGGCCAGCACCAATTGCTTTGTGCTCCTATGTGACAAACGCGTCTGTCAGAGGAGGCTCAATTCAGGTGGCAGTCTTTGTAGAAACTCCCCTGCTTCTTGTTTGAATTAATCTCTGCCTCTCTGACCCCCAGTGTTGTTACATAAAGTCGTGGTGACTTTTTCTGGCTGTTTGAAAGACTATTATGTCTAGCCCTGTTTTTCTCACATGCCATTTGCATATTCATTGCACGACTAATGTTTGTTGAAGAGATATTAATAATTGTAGCTATAAATGTGATAGTAAATAATTAATGCCTTTTGAAATGTAACGGTTAAGAATGACCTAGCCCAGTTGTCATCAGAGAGGCTGCTCTGGCAGCTAATGGGGCAGATGCAGAGGCCCACAGCAAACATGAGGCAGGGAGACAACCAGAACTGGAGATTTTCATCAGGTCTCTCTACCCTTGGAGCTTTGGGGACCTCGTGGAAGTGGGGGAGGAAAAATTGTAGGAGCCAGAGGAATCGAGGACACCAGGAGAACATGGCCCCAGAATCAACTAAACAGGACTGAAAAAACTGAAGCAGCAATTTTGGAGCCATGATGGATTTGCTCTAGGTCCCCTGCATATATGTTATGGTTGTTAGCTTGATGTTTTTGTGGGAATGGGATGTCTCTGACTCTTTTGCCTGCTCTTGGGACCTTTTTCAGCCTGCTCACCCAGCCTTGATATGAGGGTTCATGCCTAGTCTTCTTGTACCTTGTTATGCCCTGTTTGGTGGATATCCCTCAGGGTCCTGTCCTTTCTGAAGGGAGCCAGAAGAGGAGTGGATCAGTAGGAGAGGGGTGGTGGCCGGGGGAGGGGGAGGACTGGGAAGACAGAGGACGGGGAAACTGCAGTCAGAGTGTATGATACCGAGAAGAATAAGGAAGGAGGGAGGGAGAAGGCGCACTGAGGCGTTGCATACTGTGAATCTGCATTTTCACTCAAGTGACAGGAATGGAGGCAAAGGCTGCTGACATGATGTGGTGCAAGCCTAGGAGCATTTACCTAAAGTTCTGATAAGACATAGGAAGTTTTCTTTTGGGGAGTCTTAAAAGATAGTGAGCATGTATATTTTTAATACAAGGCAGGAGTTATATGTTTCTTAGTTTCTTGGTGTTTGTTGCCATCTAGTGGGCGTTATTTGTGTTGCATGCCAGGTAAAAGATGGCTTTATTGCATTGTTTACATTTGTAGTGACTGAAAATACCCATAGTGTTTATAAGAAAACAAATATCTGATCAGAAGGCCATAAAGTCGTTTTCAGGTAATGGTGTGAAACTACAGTCCATCAAATCTCTACTCTTCCACTTTATACATCTGTGGTCTGGGCAAATTATTTCATGTTTGAAAACACCCAAGTGCTAAGAACCCCTTAAAATTTCTTCCTGGGGATAGCGGAATGGTGCTGTGTCAGCCACTTAAAAGGCCTCTGATGCGGAGCAAGCGCAGTGAAAGGCTGTACTGGAAAGTGCACATTATTGCAACCGGAGATAGTTCTTAAAAAGAAAAGTGAATGGCAGAGGGTTTGTAGTACTGGACTGATGAAACTCCAAGAAACAGCTGTAAAAGTTAACGAGCCTCCAGCCTGGCTGACTGTCCTCACAGTGCAGTGGCTGAGCGCTGTACCGAGGCACAGGTTTCAGGAAATGGACTGGGCACAGCAGAGGTGAGAAAAATGTCAACATAGTAGGTTTTATTTAACTGTGTTGGTTTGTTTGTTTGTTTTGATTTTCTCATTATTCTGTGTCTTGGATTGTGGTAGAATCAAAAAAGCAGAAATAAGAAACTTGGATATTGTGGAATATTTGTTTAACTCTGTAAAGATGTGTTACATTTGTTTATGCGCAGAATATGACTTTAACTATGTAGAGGTGTGTTGCTTTTTTATGCTGCCTTTGTTTAATTACGTAAAGATCTGTTGCATCTGTTTCACCTTGCCTGCCTAAGGCACCTGATTGGTTTAATAAAAAGCTGAATGCCCAATAGCTAGGCAGGAGAAAGGATAGGTGGGGCTGTCAGGCAGAGAGACTAAATAGGAGGAGAAATCTAGGCTTGAGAGAGGACGGGAAGGAAGAGGGAATGAGAGAGATGCCAGCCAGCAAGACACAGAGACGGCAGGAAAGTACTGCACACAGAGAAGAAGTGAGCAAGGTAATGAGCCCCAAGGTAGAAGGTAGATGAAGAGAAACAGATTAATTTGGGTTAAAAGAATTAGCCAGAAACCTGCCAAAGCTACACAGAGCATTCAAAACTAATAATAAGTCTCCGTGTCATGATTTGGGAGCTGGTTGGTGGCCCCCTCAAAAAAGCCTGGCACACTTGGAGTGGAAAAAACTTATCAGAAAAGGTTTGAGCACTGGGCTCCAGCTACAGGCATGGAAGTAATGCTCCTCCTCTCAGCACATCACCTGCTGCAAAACAAAACCAAGCTGCCAATGCCTTTGGACAAAGACAGACTACGCACAGGACAGAGGCCCCGGGAGATCTTAAGAGAGGTGACGAATTCCTATCTACTGAAATGGTAGGTATTAACAGGCATGTCTGTGGTGGTACTGGGATAAGCAAGCTTACTGTTGCATTAAAATGTAGCATCTACAGTTATATATGATATGTAGGCATCAGTAATAAAAACCAACTGTTATTAGTTTATGTCTTTGCTCTATTATCGTTATTTGAGGATGCATCCCATATACATATATGTATGTATCTCACTGTGAAGCACTGTGTAGTATTGCACCAGCTTTATGCATTCCGTATTTAGAGTGTTTCTTGATTGCATCAGGTAGTCACATGACCTATAACATCTAGGCTTATGTAAGTGTGAAATTACGTAATGATGCTTTTCTCAGAACATGGTCGCTGGTGCACACCTGTGTAAATAGTCTCAGTGTAGATTTATGGATGCGTTTCTGGTAAACAAGTTATTTATAAATTCAAAGTAATATGTTGTTTTATTTATAAGTAAGAAGCTCAAGTATGTTGATAATCATTTTTATTTAATGGTCTTGTTTCATAAAAATAAATTCATATTCATTCATGTTTCAAAATTTATGTTCAATAACAGTGAGCAGTAAATCCTCATATTATCTTATTTATTATTCATGAGTTTTTCACTGGAATTTCTAGGAAACTATTCGTAACAGTTGGGAAGGGGAATCAGAGATGTCATTCAATAGGTTTCCTGATTTAAAGCCTTAGTTGACAGATATCATTTTTGTTTTCAAAAATGTTTGACTTCTTTATGACAGTAATAGTTACCTTTGGCTTACTAAAACTAGAATTAGAAATACTGAGTCCAATAAATTATGTTTTGAAATGAGTGTTGATGGGGACAGCACGGAATAGCTGCAAAGGAAAAATCTTGAGTTGAATTTGCTGGCGTGGAAACGCACAATTTCTCCCATTCTCAAGGCTGACAGCCATTTCTCCCAGGTAAGAACCCATCTCCCCAGATACCCCAAGAAAATGAGTGCAGGTCGCACTTGGAGACATCACCCTAGTTGTGACCTAGCTTTGAGGATTTAGTTTCCTCGTGGAGAGAAATAAATGGGAGCCCTTGAATGACAAGGACTGGCATCCTGCAATAGTTTTGTAAGTATTGGGGTTAAGTAGCAGGTATAGGAACCCCTCAGCCACAGGTGAGGTCCAATGGAAAAAGAGACAGTTTTACATCTCAGGGGCTCCAAACTCCCTGACCAGAGAGAGGGTAAAGTGATTGCTGCTCAAGCATTAAGACCAGAGTTTGCATTCCAGTGCCCTGATCAAAGCCAGATAGGTGTGTGCTCCTGTACTCTCAGTGCTGGGGGCAGAGGTGGGGGCGTGTGTGTGTGTGTGGGGGGGAGACGGGGCTATCTAGGGCATGACAGCCAGCCAGTCTAATTGGTGAGCTGCAGGTTCAGTGGGAAACCCTGCTTCTAAAATTAAGGTAGAGAAGAGGTTGAGGAGGACTCTGGCTTACACATGCACATATATGTGTATATGTTCACTACATACGTGTACACACGCATTACTAATTTTTTTATTTCCAAGTGTTACTAAATCCACGGCTTTTCTCATAATAACCAAGTATAAATGTCAAAATAAATTAAAAGTAAATAAAAATGAAAGCTATTTAAAATGTGTGACTATTGATTACATACCCAATGATATCATAACTGGTTTGTAACCTAAGGTTTTACTCAGTGCTCCTCTGGTCCCCACCACTCCCTTGCTGGCGGCTGGCAGAAGGCGGTGTGCTCATGTGACTTACAGCTGCGTTCTGTGTCTTCCACCGAAGCAGCCTGTGGCTGGGCCTCTCCTCCTGTTCTGTGCTAGATGGATTCTTCTTTCCACTCGTGCTGTCTGGGTTGGGCTGCTTCCTCAGTTGTTCTTAGCCTAAGTTGTTGTCCAGGTGGGAATTTCTTCTGATATACTGGTTTTATTTTCTTATACCAGTAGTTTCATTAAGACAGGAAAAGTTGCAGGTTTGTCGTTTGATTTCACTAGATTAATGGAAAGTAATTTTCACTGATAATTGTATTTTGAAGCACAGAATTCAGCATTCCTAGTATTTTAGCCTCCAAGGGATTTAGTTATGAAAAAATATGCTTTTCATTTTTTATAATCAGTTTTAAATTTATTTAGTCTGAGGCGTTCCTCTAGTCTTTTTCTTCTTTTTTTTTATCAGTTTATTCTGGATATATTATTCACTTTGTCTTTTGGGGGGAGGGGTTCGAGACAGGGTTTCTCTGTAGCTTTGGAGCCTGTCCTGGAACGTTCCTCTAGTCTTTAGCTTGGGACTAACTCTGTTGATGAACCTTTTAAAATCAGAATTGTGTTTGTTTTGGTTAACCAGACACGTGTGAAATTGGCTGTCATACTTTAGGATAGCAGACACGTTCCAGAATAAAGACCTGAAGGTGAATGTCTTCTAGTTGAAGGGAGAAGAGTTCACAGATCCTAGATATTTTCGGTCTAGAGTTAGCTTTTGGCAAAGAGCAGTATAGCCATAATAAAGCCTAACAGCATCGAGACCATTTCCATCTCCATTGTCAACAGCTGTGACCATCAACTTAGACAACTGGGGCGCTCTGTGGGGCCGGTGCTGTCGGTGCCAGAGAAAACAGTGGTCAGAAGACAGACACCAGAGCAGAGTAACTATGTTGGGTTTTTGTATGGTGATTTGAAGTTCCATTTCATTGCTGGACATTGTAGATAATGGAAAGGAAGTAGGAGAGTTTTTATTTCTGGAAAACATTGTGCGCAAGTTTGAACAAAGGAAAATTGTGATTTTTTTTCAATTATGAACTTTTACTGCTGCTGAAAGATGTTTATCCTGATAACAGGAGGCAGCAATCTGTGTTTAAGGGGAGTGAACTAATTCTTAGTTATATTAAGGAAACTTTACTAAAATAGTGTTAATAGATGCCTGCATATAATAAAATACAGTTTTCAACATCTGCTTTAAATTTTCTATGTGTCATTTAAAGAATGAAAATACTCTGGATGAGAAGGACGTGAGGTATTAGTATGTTTTCCATGAAGTACTAGCACCACATAACGACACATACCAAGGCACTTGGCCTTTCTGAACTCATTTTTCAGATTCTGAGTGCTCTGTGGCCACCATCAGGGCCGGCAGAACTCCACAGCTGACTAGTCCCATATCCTCAACTGACATGGAAACCTGTGGGCACGGGTGACATCAGGTGGCACGCTGCTGTGGCCGTCCGTGGTGGTGGACTGCCCAGTGGGTCCGAACTGTCTAACATAGAAGAACGTGTACTTGTCTGACATCTCGCTGTGCTTTCTCACTCCTGATGCCCCTGCTCATTCTCTGTCTGCCAGGCTCTGATCCAGTGTGAGCAGCTGAAGAGTGAGCTGGAGAGGCAGACAGAAAGACTGGAAAAAGAACTTGCCGCTCAGCTAGAGAAACGGGCTTTTGAGAAGGAGATGATAAAGAAAGAAGTAGCCAAGGAGAGGGAGGATGCAGAGTCAAAGGTACCGTGCGTGCTAGACACTTTCCTAAGGCCATGGGATTGCATCTGAGGGGTGGAGTGTAGGGAGGGAAGGGCTGACTTTGGCTCACAGTTTCAGTCTGTCCTGGCAGTGGGGGTCTGCACACCTGAGTCCTCATCCAGCCCTCCTGCTGCTTTTTGCAATCCCAGGTGCAACCCTTTTCTACCTCTCAGCTCCAGCACATGGATTGGAGGCCCTGGGGATGTAGTCACGGAACCAATGCTGCTGTCCCTTAAAGTACAGGCTTTAGGAAAAGATGGCTACCAAGCAGATATGTTCATAAATGATCAAATCTCTCAAGCCTAGACAGTCACGAAAGGCTTCTTGTCAGGAGGATTTTGAAGTGAGGCTGAGAAAGGTGAAGGGATAGGCAGGGGGCGAATTGAGTTCAGGGGAAGTATCATGTCCAAGAAAAATGCAAGCTCTTAGGAGCTGAAAGCTCTGTGCATGACTGGGGTTTAGAACCGGCAGGTGGTGGGGCAGAGGGACTCGGGGAGAATAGCGGAGAGTGAAGTGTGAAGTGTATGGGGGAATAAATCATCCGTGCTCTTAAAATCCACATGAGGATTAGAAATCTCATTCAGATGTGACACTAAGCCACGGAATGGCTTTATATCGGACAGTGTCATCATGATGTGAATATTTGAGGGAAATCACCTTGTTAATAAATTGGAGAGGAACTAGACTATATGCCAGGAGATGATGTTGGGGTGAGGTGTGGCATGGGGGGTGACATCTTGGATTCAGATCTCTGGGAGGTAGCCACTGGATCACAGTGTGTCCTCACTGGGTGCTCTCCCCCTCCCCCTCATGCTGGACTTCCTTCTAAGATTTTCAGTTTCTCTTTTCTTACAAGGTACTTGTGGGGCAATTTCTTTGAACCCATATCCTTGACTTGAGAGATGATGATGTATGCCTCTAAAACAATGAGAGACCCATCCAGAAAGCTGTATAGACAGTTCTAGAGTTTAACAGGTGTAGATTTAGATAACTGGGAACTGCTCTGCCTTTAATTCATCGATGTATCGATTCCTAAAGCCTTAATTTTCCACCGAGCTCCTCAACCTCCTTCCCTTTTTCTCCTTGTCCCAGTAGGAACAGTTCATCATGTTGTCCCTTGGCTGCTGTCTCCCCCTCATTGCCACCAAGTTAAAGAAACCCATCCCATCACCTTGATTGCCTTCTCTCTGCCCTGTTGTGTTTTCCTAGCCTCGTTGGCAGGCACTTCCAGCCCCTGTGGTGTCATTGCCACCAACCTCAGCTCCCTTCCTTGTTCTTTAAACCCCAGCAGGGATGATCCGTGGTGAACTCAGTTTCGTACTTTAAAAACCTTCTCATCTCCCTGCAGCCTCAGACAAACCTACAGCAAAACCTAAAGTCTCTCCACCATTTTTCCTGTCTCCTCAGTCTCATGTCCCTTCACCTTTTCCCTTGCCTTCCTACTACACTGACGTCCTTGCCCATCCCCAGTCATTCAGGACCAGTCTGCCCTGTTTGTTTGTTTTGTTGCTTTTGTTTGTTTGGTTTGGTTTTTCATAATAGCATTTCTCTTTGTAGCCTTGGCTGTTCTGGAACTTACTCTGTAGAATAGGTAATCTTGAACCCAGAGATCCACCTGCCTCTGCTTCCTGAGTGCTGAGATTAAAGGCGTGTGTCATCACCGCCTGGCTGTTTGTTTTTATGCAAGGTTTGAGTGGGCTTCGTCTCCTATCCAGAGAAGGTCTTTGTTTTGTTTGATCCTTCAAAGTTCTTGAAACAGCCTCCATCAGAGCCTCCCAAAGCAAAACTAAGTTGTGCTCTATGGGTTCCCATAGTTGAGTTGATTGCAAATTCTTGTGGGATTGTTGCCTTCTCTAACTTTCTGTGAGTCCCTGCATATATAAACCAATATCCTCATTGTTGGCACATTAGCAAATGCTCAAATATATAGTTTTGAATGAAGTATGAATAACATACAAGGAAAGGAAAGAGGGGCCCCATGGCGTTGGAAAGGCAGGACTAAGGCAGAGGCTCAGAACTGATCCATCTGCAAGTGATCATGGGAGTTCTCGGGGCAAAGGTGGTATTACTGAGGTCCAAAGAATAGGCAGGTAGAATCCTAGCGACTGGGGAAGGTATGGAGGGACGTGGAGCTTTGAATTGGCTATCGTGTGTGTGTGTGTGTGTGTGTGTGTGTGTGTGTGTGTGTGTGTGTGTGTGTGAGAGAGAGAGAGAGAGAGAGAGAGAGAGAGAGAGAGAGAGAGAAATAGAATCAATCACACACACACACACACACACTGTGTGATGTTTTACTCTTTTGAATTTATGAGGGACCCACCACCCAGCTTCCAAATATATTACATACACAGAGGCTTATTCTTAGTTTTGAATGCCTGGCATTAGCTTGGCTTATTTTTTTTTTTTGCCAGTTTTTTTAAATTTAAATTATCCAGATTACTTTTTGCCTCTGGGCTCTTATCTTTTTCTGCTTCTGTATACATTTCTTTACTTTTTTGTTCGTGGCTTGCTAGGTGACTGGCCTCTGATGTCCTCTTCTCCTTGTTTCTCCTTTTACTTATGCTCTCTGCCTGCCACCCCCAGCTGTCCTTGCTCCTGCCTAGCTACAGGCCATTCCGCTCTTTATTAGGACCATCAGGTGTTTTACACAGACAAAGAATCACAGCTTCACAGAGTTAAACAAATGCAGCATAAACAAAATTCACACAGGTTAAAATAATGTTCCCCAATACACACACCCACCCACACGCACGCACGCACGCACACACACACACACACACACACACACACACACACAGCTATTGCTCACAACTAGGGTATTTTTATTTGGGAAGGTGGTTGTTTAGTGGAAACCCTTTGACTCAGCCTCACAATATGAAAACACTTGGATGAGAATTTCAAAAAAGAGGGGAAAAGAGCAACGGATTGTGCTTGGTGGTATGGCAGGTGCGTTTGTACCGGAGTGTCGCCCTGACGGGCACTTCCTGAGGAAGGCAGCAGCACGCTGGCACAGGGGAGTGAGCTTTGGCACATCGGGTCTCTGGTCGGGTCCTGAGTAAGGACAGATGTAAGAGTAAGGAGGCACCAGGTCCTAGCACCCAGGTGGTCTCAGCAGGGAGAATGGCTTCAGAGAAGAAGCTGTGGGAGTAAGTCCAGTTTGACTTTTCTGGGACTTGGTCCAATCCGTGGGAGTGATGACTGCTTTAAGCACTTGACGGGATTAAAAGCCTTGATGCTTTGCTTTGAAACTCGTATTTCCAGTCTTATGGTGGACATTGAATAAAACTGAGCCTGTGCCTATTATCGTTTTTATTCTAGGGAATGAGCAGTGGGTTTGCTGGGCAGCTTTCTTGTACCTGTGAGTCAGTATAGACAGAGAATACAAACTCTAGCTGTATGTATTCTCTTGAATGAACTTGGGCAAGTAGCTTAGATTTCCTAATCTCATTTCAGGGGAACTGAAAATTAATCCAAGCAATCCAATTTCCATTAATCCAAATCAGATACAGTTCTTTCTCTAAAGGGACCGAAGTGCACAGATGTGTGCGACACTAGGAAAGTACCTAGCTTCCCGTATCGCTGAAGCTTCTGTGTTATCGGCTTCAGCAGTTGTAATGGAGATGCCTCAGGCACGGGTTCCACGATCTTCCTCACGAGTGTCCGTGTGCGCTAAGAGCTAGCAAACATGCATCCCTGTCTCTCCTTACTGTGTCCTTGCCTCCTCCTCCCCATCTCCTCCTCACTCCTGCAAAAGACCTTGGAGTTTTGCTCTTTTGTTCTGACCCTTTACAGTTCCACAAGCAGATTTGAAGTACATGCCCAGGATAAAAACTTACCAACGCAAAATATTAAATGACGTAGTTATTGAAACAAAATGAGAAAGAAATTTCCTCATATTTTTAAATAGCATAATCCTTGTATATATAAGTGTGTTCACAGATGCATTAGGAAGCATTGTCAGTTGATCCAACTGTAGCTGTGGCATCAGAAAGAAAACATTTTCCTTTTCAAACCTGCTTTCTGGGGCTGGGAAGCCGGCTTAGTTGGTGAAGCGCTCACCGCAGGAGCGTGAGGATTGCTTGGATCCCCGATCCCCAGCACCCACATAATACAGCTGGACATGGCTGTGTGTGCTGCAAACTCAGTGCTGGGGAGTTGGGGACAAAAGGATCCCTGGGGCTTGGTGGCCAGCCTGTGGAGCAGAACCTGTGAGTCCAGGTTTCGTGAGAGATTCTGCCTCAAAAACTAAGGTAGGTAGTGAATGACGAAGATACCAGGGCTAACCTCTGACCTCAGCATGAATGTGTACACGTGTATTTACATATACACATGTACAGTGCACACTAACAAACAAGTACACACATAAACAACACGCACGCACATACAGCACCACAGCACCAAGCTTTGGAATACAATCTAATAGGGAAAGTGACAAATCAATCATTACCTGTAAATATTAGGTTGGTAAAGTTACCGCACAAATAGGTGCTCCTGGTTTCCCAACAGAAGGTAGTTATCTCCTTCCCTGCTCCCCATTTGTGTGGGAAACTCTAGGAGGACAGGTGTCTCTGCTGCCTGCCCGTGTCTGCATCATTCCCCATGAATATCACCTGCTGTGAGTTTGTCTCTTGCTTTCAGTATGGGCCTTGTTTGTACGGAGCCCCTCTGGCTTGTTAGTTCAGTCCATCACCCCTCCCCCCACAACCCACACATTTTCTTAGTTGGTTCCCTTGACAATAGCCCATTGCCTGAATCCTTAATTTCTTCTACCACTCCATGCAATATTCGATGTTCTGGAAACTGCTTTGCAGAAATCTCTCTCAAGCTTTCCCAACCTAGGTGTCCTTGTCTCTTCCTTGCCCCTGTCAAAGTTTAAAGAACTTACCTGATGTCAGTGCCTTGGACATCCAGCCGTGTTGCAGCTGTCTGTGTTGCTTCTGGCCCGGCAACAGATGTGGATGGAGAAGCTCCTGCAGTGTAATGCTGACTTCCAGATGGTGGGCGTGGGGGAGAAGAAGGTGTGACAACAGGAGGGGGAGCCTCAGGAAGTGGGTGATAGGAGGCAGCAGACAGGTAGTAGGCAGAGGACCTAAACGATGGGTGGTAGAGGGCGGGAGTCCCACGGAAGGGAGGGATTTGATGTATGCCTTGTAATAGGAATGGACAGAACTTACAATTAGCAAAATAAATATCTGCAGATTTACTTGAAACACAGAGCATCCCTAATATGTTTGACAGATTTATCTCCACATAAATACGTAATATATTAGTTTAAATAGCTTCACTAACATTTATTGCTGTTGTATGGTTCCAGAAGACATATAATTACAGGTTTATGGTATGGATAGTCATGAATTTGAGTTCTTAAATTAAGGAAATTAAATTGATACTTGATTTGCTCTGTTATTTCCTTTGACACTTAATTATTGGTTCAGATTGTAATATGCACAAAGGTACTTTGCAGTTTGGTATTAGCAAAGCTATGCCCAAATTAAGTTTTTGTACAATCTTTTAATGTTTGGGACGTGAAAATAACTAAGCCACGTATTCAGTTCTCCGTGATTTTAGAAAAGTCAATTGTTGATCATTTGAAATTACAAAGAATCTACAGGGCTTGTTTTTTGCACGAGCGTCAGGTATGCTACTTATGTCATCAAATGTAGACACCCGACCTCAGTTTATTGCTGTGATGCTCTTCACTTACCAAAACTATGGTTCAACATTGATATCTTAAGAGAGTTTTTATTGCCATATATTAATTATGTACAACAGTGGTTTCATCAGGATGTTTTCATGCATGCGTATAATATATTTTCATCATATTTATTGTCCCATTCTTATTGCTGTCTCTTGTTCCACTAGCCTTTTGTTTCTGCATGTATGAACAAATGACCTTAATTAGGCTTATTTGGTTTTGTTTTTTGGGGTATTTTAATTTATGCTTATTGATATTTTGCCTGCATGTATGTTCTTGTGAAGGTGTCACAGTAACCCAGGATATGGAGTGACAGGCAGATGTGATCTTCCATGTGGGTGCTGAGAATTGAACTCAGGACCTCTGGAAGAGCAGCCAGTGCTCTTAACCACTGAGCCATCTCTCCCGCCTCTTCTAAGCTTATATGTATGACAAAATTTTAGTTATTTATTTCAGTTATAGAACAATGTCTCCCTGTCAGGGACTATGGTAGAATTCAAGCATTATTGTTTCTCTAGCAGATGAAGTAGAAACCCCCATAGGCTCTGTTCTGGCTTAAGGTAGCATTCTTTCATTTTAGATGTGTCAGTTCAACTAAGAGGTTAGCATGGAAAACTTGGAGTCACTTGAAACAGAGCACAACCACGAAGGCTAAGGACTAGAAAGCAGTTTTGGTCCTGAGGAGAGACGAGTAAGACCTGATATAGACTCCCTCCGAAAAATTAGAAAGAATCCTAATTATTCATCCATATACTCATGGAACATTTGGTGCCTTTTAATGAACATGCCCTTGAGGAACTTCTAGCACAAAACCCAAAAAAAACAAAAACCAAAGGGACAGGTGAAAACAATGGAACGGTGTAATTTGTACCATGGCAGCGGTCTACAGAGGCGGAGCGGGGTCAGGTGGCATGCGCAGACCTTGCTGCGGAATTACGTGCCAGTGTAACTCTCAGAGGATTAAGCAGTCAGGAAGGCAGGGCCAGTGACAGCGAGAAGGGAAGCAAGTACAGAGAGCAGACCTAAGTGTGCGCAGTAGCTGGTTAGCAGGGGCCGTGAGGGTCACCTGTGCTGGGGACGGGACATCGAGGAGGGCTTTCTGGAAGACAGGAGATAATTGCACATCTGCTTCTTGGCAGGACTGAGGAACAGTAAATAACGAGAGGATAAGTGAGGCTTGTGAGAGAGGGCAGCCGAGAACCCTGTGTTGATTTGGGGGGAGGGGTCTCCTCTCTTTAAATTACCTTTCCTAATGTTTAAAGGCCATGTGAGAAGGGACCTAAGAGTTGCCAGGTTCCCCGTGCCCCCTTTGAAATGTCCCCATCACAGTCTGTCTCATAGCTATCATATCTGCTGTCTAGGGTTTCAACCAGCCTTTGGACTTTAGCATCATACACCTTTTCCCAATAAGTTAGAGTCAGGAGTGAAGGAGGTTTTGAGATGATGAGGTGAGCTGAGGAAGTAGAGAAGTAGACATATTCAGACCACACAGAAATAACGGAGCCCAGAAGGGGTGCGGACACTGAACTATTGAAGTGACTTTTTAATACTTTTCAGTTACCACGGCTGAACTCTTTGTCTCCTCACAGATATTGATCCTATCTCAGAACATTGCTAAGCTGGAGGCCCAGGTGGAAACGGTGACTAGGGAGAAGGTTTCGGCTGTCAGCCAACTGGAGGACGTTCAGAGCCGGCTTGCTTCTCAGGAAGCGGATGTCTCAAAGGTCTGAGCAAGACCTGGTTTATTAATTGCTTAAGTACATATTTTCTTTGAAAATACTTTTGTTTAGATTTATTTAGTGAGTGTGTTTATGATTATGTGTGTGTGCGTGCGTGTGTGTGGGCACACACATGCCATGGCCATGCTACTCCTGTAGAAGTCAGAGTCAGTTTTCTCTCCGCTGTGGGATCTTCTCTTGTTCAGATACTGTCTGAGGCATCTCGTCTGCTCTGAAACCATTTCCCTTAATATCCAAAGCTCCTGGTGTGGTCAGGAAGAAGTTTGGAATAGAAAAGTTTTGTTATTTAATAAGAGTCAACTTAGTGAGTCTATCAGCAAACATTAGCACAAGCATGCCCTCCATGGTACTGAAAATCCAAGGATAATTTATACCAAATAATTGGCAAAGACAGACTTGTGATTGGGAGTTTTAGTGTCTTAATTGTGGCCTCCTTAACGAAGCTCGCTTTTCTGCATTAGTTAACTAGGAGTGGTTGTTTTTCTGCAGACAGCGGGAGGCTGGTCTTCCCAATAACTATTAAAGACATCCTTAAAGGGGTGCCTGATATAAAAATTTCTTCCTCTCATTTCATTTTCAGATCTGCTTCTAAAACCAAGAGTTCAGAATAAACTCTTAGTTAAATCTTAGATTTAGCATAAATTCTTATTTTATTAATGCTTAAGTTATATATTAAAATAATACAGTATTATGCTTCCAATGAAGTATAATGGTTTTAACTGACTTAAGAGTGCTAGTTTATCAGGGTTTCACGTAAATTACTTGACTAGTAAGAAACCGAATATTGGCATACATAATTATATAAATGAAATCGATTCCTTCTTTATCACTAAATTCACAGATAATTTTATAACTTTATAACCTATATTCTTAAGTTTTGATACATTTTTTTTCATTGTTACTTTATAATTAATCAGAAATATTTTAGCTTATACATTAATTTGTACATATACAACTTACAAAAAGAGCTATTTTTCTTTTCACGGTTTAATTCTCCAATTCCCTAAAGTCATGCTTGCTGACAAAGGGATTTAAGAAGTTTCTGCTTGCTAGCATACCGTCTGTGTCTGTCTGGAGACTGGGATGGAAGTGGGGTCTGTGGAGGAATGGGCATTGGAATGGGTTTGCAGGTGAAATCCGTGGCACTGGTTTGTGGGTCATTGCAGGAGACACCTCTGATGAAGCATCATGAAGTAACGAATGAGCTCTGGGCCCTACAGCTGCCCACAAGACTCAAACACCAGAGAGTGACGTATTAGACTAAATGAATTTGGAATAGTTTCCAAGCCTGAGATGGTAATTCCGGCTCAGTATAATGCCTCGACTCGTCTTAGAAGTTCAGGTGTGTGGATGAATAAAGTAAACAATGAGGACTAAGAAAGAGAGAGCCTTTAGAAGACGAGACTCAGACACTTAGATAAGCGTCATTGCTATCACAGTTGAGGAACTGATTTTCTGATGTTAGAAATTTGACAGTTTTTCCGCTTAACTCGTCAACCTACTTAAGCCTAATGGTTTGGAATGGGGGAGAAATTTTTATGTAACTCTTCAATTTTATGTAGTATTTTCAGTTTAGAATTTTTTCTTTTTCATTTTTTTTCCAGGAGTGGGTGTTGAGACAGGGTTTCTCTGTGCAACAGCCCTGGTTGTCCTGGAACTCACTCTGTAGACCAGGCTGGCCTCAGACTCACAGAGATCCGCCTGCTTCTGTCTCCAAGTGCAGAGATTAAAGGTGTGCACCACCACTGCCACTGAGCTGGGAGCTCAGTTGATAATTTTTTGAATGAAAAAGTCAACTTTCATGCACTAAAGATTGGTTGATTGTGTGTGTGTGTGTGTCTGTGTGTGTGGTGTGCGCGTGCTTACATGTGTGTCCATGTGTGTCATTCTTTCTGTTCTACTTTCTGACTGCTGATTGCACTTCTGTCTTGCTCCAGTGCCTATTGTTTCTAAAGAGCTTTTTATTTGAGCAAAGGAAGACATATAGATTTCATACTTTGCTATATTTTAATCTCAAAAATGATGAAACTAATTTCTGAAGCTTCTAAAACCATCATTTTTGAAGAAATGTCAAATTGAAAATTTACAGGCAAGAATAATCATTAGATGCTGTATGACTATAAAGACTGCACTTGAATATCAGAAAGGGTTGTAATTTAACCCAGCTTTCCGTGGGTTCTCAGTTTCGGCAAAGGCTCGACATTCCTTAGGCTTTACTGATAATTCTATTTTTCAAGTATGTTTCTCTGTGTGCAGTGACCTGGATTAGAGGAAAAAAAGCAAAATTGCATACATAATGTTTCGCAACATTTTAAAGGTGTTGTATGTATTGATTATATAATAATATATCATAGTTACTTCATTTGAATGTATATTTTCCTCTTATATACAGTTATAATTGTAGAGTGTGCTTAAAGCCAATATATGACTTTTACTGAAAGTTACTCTATAGTGTTTAAGTCATGTTGTGTACTATGACAGTAAGGTTGATGCCAGCTGTAATGTTAACAGTAAATATCTCAATATCAGTAATAGAGTTTATTAGCAAGGAAAAATCCTTATAATTTTCCTTAAAAGCTCAACTGATGAAGTCTTTAAAGAAATATTTTTAGCCGGGTGGTGGAGCACAACTTTAATTCCAGCACTCAGGAGGCAGAAACAGGTGGATCTCTGAGTTCAAGGCCAGCCTGGTCTATAGAGTAAGTTCCAGGACAGTAGTTGATACACAGAGAAGCCCTGTCTGTGAAGAAAACAAATAAAAATAAATATTTTATATTATAGAGAGAATGTCTGACCATATGTGTAAATAACATAGTTTACCTGTTTTAATTACCAATATTAGTATAATTTTATATGTTAGTGTCTTTTGTTCATAATATTTATTTAAGACTTTTTTGGGCTTTTATTCATTTGTTTATTTTTCATTCTTTGAGACTGGGCTTTTCGGGAACTCCCTTTGTACACCAGACTGGCCTCGAGCTCACAGAGATTTGCCTGCTTCTTCCTCCTAAATGCTGGGATTAAAAGTGGCATGCACTATCACTGCCTGGCTATTTAAGACTACTTTATATGAAATAATCCTGAAAATTTACTTCAATTTCTTAATTATGCATTTCATTATTTTATTGTTTTTGATCACAAGGTGGCGTGTGCACGTGTGTGTGTGTGTGTGTGTGTGTGTGTGTGTGTGTGTGTGTGTGTGCGTGCTCCTGTGTGGCCACACTGTGCTATGGCACTCAGGGACTTCAGAAGACAGCTTGAAGGAAAGGAGTAGGTTCTGTCCTTTCATGGGACCCTGAGTTGAACTCAGGAACTCAAGCTGGTGGCAAGCATCATTACCTGCTGGTCCATCTCACTGGCTTAGCCTTCCATTGCTGTGATTTGGAATGTTAAACAACATTAATTCCTTTATTGCCTTCAAATCTTACACTGTATTTAGTACTTAGAAAAGTCTGTTGTGCTTTATCTGTGTGTCCTCTAGGGGGCACCAAAAGATCTAATTGTCGGCATTGCTCTGCCGATTCCAGAGGCTATTGATCTGTTTTTATGCTCTAACAGGTGTGTGGAGAAATGCGTTTTCAGTTGAATAAAACGAAAATGGAGAAGGATGAGGCAGAAAAGGAGCACAGAGAATACAAAGCAAAATCTCAAAGGGATCTTGAAATTAAAGATGAGGTAAGGAATGACACAGGCACAGCTATTCTATCAGTGACATGTTTTCTGGAGTGGTGTGGCTTTATCCCTTAGCTATTTGTTTCTCTTGTATTGTTTCTAACTAATGTAAGTACCCAGTTTATACTATTAAAAGAATTTCATTTATAGTTGCCTGACATGAAGTGGTGAGAATACAACTGCTTGCATATGAAATTCCAATTTGACAGTTCATAAATATACATTTGGATATGTATCTATTACTTAGAAAAGTTTAAAAAATGTTCTAATGCACAGTTTGAACCTAAAATATACGTACATAAAGTTCTTCAAAGATGCCAACTTGCATCCAATTTTAAATGAAAAACTTTAAAATTTGTGAGATGAGATGAGTTGATATGTAAATATGTCAATCAAATTGATTGCTGGCAGAGTGGAAGCAGTTTTCACTGAGATAGCCATGAATACGCTTGCTCAGGAAGCCTACATACAGTGGAATTAGAAATGTTAGGGAAATGCTACTTGCTTCAATTTCAGTTTGAACAGATGTTTTATGTTAGAACTCTGTTGAGAGTGTGTAGATACTCCAATTTTAATTGACTCTGGGGAAGGCTTTTAAAGAGAAAGTTATGGCAGATTGACTTTTGATGTTCTATTTTTATGTTACGTTATAGGCCACTGAAGGTTTGCATTCCTTATAGCCAAGAAAAGCAGATTGTGTATTCTATTAAAATAATAAGACTGAGGTATCAGTATCAATAATTTAGAGATATCCTTACAATTTAGAAGTAAGTTGCTCCAGATAATTTTGCAACATATTTCTAATGAAGGCTTTCTATCATATTTTCAACATATTTTCCCTTTCAGCCATCAGCTGTTGATGACAAATGACATAAAGGCAATTGGGGAATGGATTAAATAAGAAAGTGCTAATGAAGTTTGGTGCAAAAAAAAAATTTCAAATCATGGCTGAAACCCTTAGTGCTAAAATGAAGCCCAGACAACCAGAATAAAAGTAGTTTTGATTTCACTATATGAAGACTTTGGAGATCTCAATACTAGCGTGTTCAGGCTTCATTTCATCCAGTTGGGGGCGTACCTGATAGTGGAATGGAAGGAAGTTCTTCCCATCAAGGCATGAAAGCCTGGGACTACTAAATCAATGGAGCTCTTTCCTCTCTTTGATGCCCACAGGTTTTTAGAGCTATGTTTGCACACTCTGTAACAGTATTAAATATCTTCTGAGTTATGATACAGCACTCTAGAAGTATTATGTTTTCAACTAATAGAACACGGAAGCAAAGAGTTTTGTGAATGATTTAAAATCACATTGTCCTGTTTTAGTGATAAAAACGAATACGGTACACTAACAAGGAGAGCTTCATTTGGAAATGATAGCTTAGTTTAAAAGCATCTCCAGTGTCTGTCTTTAGCACACTGTCTCTTCCTAAAGGCTGAAGTTGCAGGGATGGTTTTCCTTTGCCACTCTTTCCGGATGTCTGAAATATTAAGTTTCCCAGTGTCCTTAGTGATGCAGTGTAGACAGAGATGCGCCTCCGGTGGGGCGGGACAGTGTCAGGAGTCGGCCTGTGGAGGGTCAAGGGACTTTGCCTGCTTCCCTGTTCCCGGGACAGACTGCGAGGAGACCGTGTAGGTTCTCTTTGTAACTGTTTTGCACTGAACAGACAGTTTCAGAAAGTCGTAGCTTCTCATTCCCTGGATGATTTGGAGCAGCAAAGAAGCAATTGTTCTTTGGTCTTTCAGCCGTGACCTGACCTTCTGTCTATAAGACCGAAGAGCTATTTAGCTTGGCCACCATCTGCACCCAGGAGAGAAATTTACATTTAGCTTTGAAAAGCTGGCCATGGCGAGCATTTATCTGAAATACCTACAATGATATAAAGCATATTCAATTTTAAAGCCTTACATATCATACAGTCATCAGAACCAGAGGCCTGTCTCTTGGTTTGCAAACAGGTGTTCCCCATAATATAGTCATTTTATTCATATTTTAGCTAATCTGGCCACTTGATGGGTTTTGAAAGTAGGTGGGAAACTGTGAGATCGGAATGTGGTGAGAACAAGAGCCTCTTTGATGTACATAAAACAGGGCAAATGCTTGACCACCAAAATGATTTTCCTCGTGACCTGAGCCTTGACTCTGGCATAATTAGAAAGAAAGGTTAGAGGAGGGACAATGGCTGTCTCTTCCGCCCACTTTCTTCTTTTCTTTTTATATTGTGTCAGGACCCACGGGTGAATTTTCCTCCCCATCAGCTCCTTTGTATCGCTCCAGCTTAGAGAACGCTGTCGGTCTCAGGGGTGCGTCTGCAGAAGAAACACAAAAGGCATTTGGTGTGGAGATTGGGAACTTTGTGCCTTGATTTTTTTTTCTTTTTTTGTTTGTTTTGGTAAATATCAGGTACACACACGTACACACACACACACACCCATCATGGGAATTTAAAGGCACATGAGACGGAATATTATAAATCACTTATGTGCTTCTAGTACTTACATTCATTATTGTCACTTCTGTTCCAGCCAGCCCAGAATTCTTCTCTTAGCTTCACCTCCACTGCCATACTTTTTCCATCTTATCTTTTACAAATTCCTCTTTCTCCTTGTCTTCCTCTACCTCTTCTCCTTTTGCAGAAAATTTTAAAACAGATATCAAACATTATTTTATTATTTTATCTACAAATACTTTATATTCATGAGGGAAATTTTCATATTATATTATCACACTGAGCAATATTAACAATAATTAGTAGCAAGTGACACCCAGACAATGTTCACATTTCTTTATCTCAAAAATGTTTCGCAGTTGGCTTATTCCAAAATGCAAGGCAAGTGTTCTTTTTCTATTCAAATGCTAAGGTACTATCCTCATTTAAAGGAGGTAAAAGGAACGCTGAGGAAAAAGAAATCAACTTTCTTTATTATCTATTTCCTGTGGAAGGCTGTGCGTGTGCTCTGTACTTCTGAAACATCTCTTTGCACTCTACAGAGCTACATCTTCATCCCCTGCCACACTATGGGAGCACGTGGCTACCATGTGGCATTGCTTTTCACTGCATTCAAGAAGGGGGCTAGAGACTCTGAAATGCAGACTACAACATTTCCGAGCCTTGTGTTTAACCTGGCATTGCTGGGTTAGCTGACTGGAAATGAGGGGTACATCTTGGGAACTGTCAACTTTCAATTACGTAGTGGAGTCTCAAAGATGTGCCTTTATAGCCTCTAGCCTTCGTCAGGCCTGTGCAAGTCACGGTAAAGAGAAGCGTGATGTTAAAGGTGCTGCAATAGGAAGCCTTTTTTTTTTCTTTATTTATTCTTTAGTCTCTTGCACTCTTCCTCTTCTTCCTCTTCTGCTCCCCATCATGGTATATTAAATTTGTTATTTAATTTGGAACTATATGTAGCACAAGGATTAACGTACTGGATGTAGATCTTTATAGTGCTCTATAACTGAGGGTGCATATGTGATCCTTCAGCTTCTAAGTTTTCTTTGTTTTTAGGTGTGTGTGGGTGTGGGTGTTTCTTCAGTGTATACACATTCATGTGAAAGCTAGACTATAACCTCAGCTGTCAGCCTTGGGAATGCAATCACCTCCTTTGAGACAGGGTCTTTGGTCTGATGTTCACCAGTTTTGCTAATTGGCTCTCCAGCAAGCTCTGGGGTCATCCTGTCTCTGTTCCACTAGTAGGGGGATTACAGATGCCCCGCTCCAATGTCTTCCTCTCGGTCCCATATAGAACTCCAGTAGAAAGAGGTGAGCCACGCCTCAGAATGGAGGGGAAATATTGCCCACTCACCCCAGCTTGTCTCCAGGCCATAGTTGCTGAGGCTGGCGTAGAGGTGGGGAGATGACCCAAAGAAAGCAGAGCAGTTGTGGAAGCTGTTTATTCAATGATCTAATCGTTGGAACTACAGATGATAGCTTAAGAGAACGTTCTGAGAAGTGGACCACCTTTTCAGACTGTGAGGATGTGAAGCCCTCAACAAAACATTTCATTGGCTTTGGTTTTATGACTTACTCTTGTGTTGAAGAGTTGGTGAAGCAATTGTATATGGACTACCCAAGGTTGGTGGGCATGTGCTGAAACTACAGAGCCATTCTTCGAGAGGAGGCTATAAAGCCTGGAGCGCATTTAACAAACAAGAAATTTTTGTTGGTATTGAAGATATAGAAGAATAGAATCTGAGAGAATACATTGAAAAGTATGGGAGATTGAAGCCATCCAAGTTCTAGAAGTCAAGCAGAGTGGGGAACAAAGAGATTTGCTTTTATAATTTTTGATAATCATGACAATGGTGGTGAAATTGTTCAGAAATGCCAACTGTCAATGTGCGTAATTGTGAAGTGAAAAAGACCATTTCATCTTTTCAAAAAATGCAGTCCACTGATCAGAGTGGTCAGGGAGGTGGATCTGACAACTATGGAGGAAATGAGACATGGTAGAGGTAATTTTGGTTTTGGTAAAACCTTTGGTAGAAGAGGAGGCTATGGTGGCAGAGGTAGTTATGAAGGTTGATACAGTGCATTTAGAGGTGATGGTGACAGCTATGGTAGTGGTCCTGGTTGTAGTAATAGAGGAGACTATGGTGGTGGTGGACCAGGATATGGAAACCAAGGTGGTGGATACAGTAGTGGAGGAGAAGGATATGGTGGCTATTATGATGGATGAGGAAAATCTGGTAGAGGTAGCTACGGTGGTGGGAAGTATAATTAAGTTGGGCAGCAGCAATCGAAATATGGATCCATGAAGGAGGGCAGTTTTGGTGGAGGACACTCAGGCAGTCCCTGTGGTGATGATCACTGTGAGCCTGGTAGCAGAAACATCAGCAATCAGCAGAAAAGGGTTCCAGTTCTTAGAGAAAAAAACAGTAAGTGTAGCTGAAAGCCACTCGTTTATTTCCTGGCCACCCAAGCCCAGAATAATCACACAGAAATTATATTATTATAACACTATTTGGCCTATTACCTAACACTTCTTATTGGCTAGCTCTTATATCTTAA